GGAGCATATGTTCAGTCTTAAAATGCCTAGCAAATTACGGACCAGGCAATAAGTCCAGCAGCTATCTCAATCAATCGTCAGTTATGGAAAGATCGGGTTCCAAAGGCCGGATCCCTTGTGAATCAAGTCACGAAAAGTTCAAGAATCGGCAACAGGCCATGGGCCTATGTCTTCAACGCCGACACTTCTATTCTATTCTATCAATTGTAGAGGTGACAATAAAATTTTATTCATGTAAGATATTTACTTCTATACTATACTGAGTATATTAGATATGAATGGAACTGCGATGTCGTTATTGGTGGATGTGGCATTGTGTGATTCTCTAGTTTTATGAATGAGCACAAAGTTCCATTGTCTTTGTAAACGATTGTAAACGATTTTACAATAGAACTGTTGGGGATCACGTACAAGAAAAATCCAATTATTGCTGGTTCTTTCGAGTTGAACGTACAGTTGAAGTTTTAAGCCAACATCATACATTATTTTGAGTAAAAACTCTAAGTGATTCATTACATATTCTCCAGTTACGCAATCTGAGGAGAGTGGATTTAGCCATAAACGCTCGCGTAAACTCAAAAAGCACTTCCTTCCAAGCGTAAATCCTACTATTATTTGAATAACAAAGTCATGATGGAAATTCCTCGCATTCCACATGGGATCCCAGAAGATTTTTACGAGTGTATCTCCAAGATAATTACGCTGTGGCGCCAAGCACTTTCATGATGAATTGAATAGAAACTACAATGACATTTTCGTTTTTACACGATAGTAAATAGGGTTTATGATATGAATGTTATTGTTTTTGCATTTATGTTTCCAAAAATTTATTTTTGTTTAATTAACAGCTGGTGAAGCATGCATCAGAAACAAAATTGTGTAGTGCATGTGAAGCCTGAACCAAGGCACCATTGCTGTTAATCCGCTGTGTGGGCCTTCAAAACACCAGGTATCGAAACTATTAAATTTTTAGGCAGCATGCAGCTTTGAATAAAATAACCCTTACTTTTAAAATTTAGAATTACACTATCTTATATTGCACTTTCATAAAAAGCATTGACATTTGAATCTTGAACACCTCTGAATCCCAAACCAGAAAATATGTAGTAAACTTCCAGGATTTGGTAATAGCTTAGCTCAGCCCCAAATACGTTAATCGCGCAGAAAGCCATTCTGTTCGTTAAAGAATTGTTCCATGAGTGCCCTACATGTGGGAAACTATACGATCTTATGCATCGAGTTGGAGTGACCACGTTACTTCTAAAGGAAACTGTACGCTTTCAAGATGTATAGGCGTCATACATGGAGTTTTGTACGAAAAATTATGACAATATTGAAGACTTTCCCGTTAAGCAATCTTCGACGGGGGAGCAGTCGTAGCTCAAATTTAACTTCTAAATAAGCCCTGAAGCTAAAGCCGCGCCGCGCAATAACTTTATTCAGCCATAAAGCTAGAAGCCACAGCCTGCGCAGGAAAACCGTAATCCAGAGCAGTGACACACTGCTGATAAATAATAACGTCGTAGGTCTTCAGTCAATATTTGAGCATGCTCGCTTATAAGCAGGCAGTTCCGCATCCGGCTGCACCTTGTCCGGCTTAACCTCTTTTAGCCTACAATTTTCACGCTATCCCGGTTCACAACATTCAGGCAACCATTAACTGGGAAACAAAAAGCTCTAAACAAATAAATTTCATATTAAATGGATATCGTAAAATATATAAAAAAGAAATTGTTGTTAATGATGGTGAAAAAATACTTGCAACGTACTGGAGCCCAGATTTATTGCGTAAAACTACTTTTTTTATTAAAATATTTGAAAATTTTAAACTTACTTCTCTTTCTAGGTATTTGAGAATACGATTTAACGAAAGATTTGTTCATTTCAGGAGATGATTTCGTGAAGTGCGGCAACGGTCGCCGGGTTCACCGCTTCTTCTGGTGCAACGGCTGGCCCGAGTGTCCTGACAACCACGCAGATGAAGCAGTTTGTGATCGTAGGTCTTCAGCCAATATTTGAGCATGCTCGCTTATAAGCAGGCAGTTCCTCATCCGGCTGCACCTTGTCCGGCTTAGCCTCTTCTGGCCTACAATAGTCACGCTGTCTCGATCATAACATTCTTTCAACCAATGACTGGAACAGCTCACTTGAACCGCCTATCTAACTTCCATCAGGTTATAACATTATATTATAACATTATAATATAACATTGAGGTTATAGTAGGTCCGCTCAAGTTTGTTTCTTTGGTAGAGAAAAGTTGCAACTTGCGTAGATAGGCCAGACGAGGTTAGGCCGGAAGAGGTTTGGCCAGATGCAGTAAGGCCATGCTTACTTTTAACATGCTTAAGTAGGGGCTATGGACATCCGGCAATATGGTATTGAAGATTTGACTTCAAAGGCTGCTATGCTCTTTGGTGTTATAACCAACGGAAAGGAATACGAACAATGGGTTGTTCACGATTGTTATGGGATGGGACTGTAATAGGCTGTTCACTTCTATCTCTTTTAGTGCCGAGTTTCGGAATTGATAAACATTGATGCCGGAAAGAAATAAAGAAATTATCTTTACCATGTCAGAAATTATTTGTTGAGTTGACATCATAGGAAACTAATTAAACAAGTTTATAATAGAATATCCTTTATTGGGGTCGTAGTCTTTAACGCATTATGTAACGTCGCTGCAAATGAAACTACATGATTTGTACAGATAAAATGCATTTCTTTCCATTATTGACAGATTTAATCAACAAAAAAAATGAAAACAAATTATGTTCCCATGAAACGGAACTCGCAAAATATGAAGGAAAAAAAGTTTTTCTCGCTGATTGGGAAAAAATACTTGCAAAGTACTGGTAGGGGGAGGAATTTGTGCGTTAAATTATTTCTTTGCTTAAGAATTAGAAAATGTGAATTTAATTCTCAATTTGGGTGTTTGTATTGTTCATTTTAGGAGATGATTTTGTGAAGTGCGGCAACGGTCGCCGGGTGCACCGCTTCTTCTGGTGCAACGGCTGGCCTGAGTGTCCTGACAATCACGCGGATGAAGCAGTTTGTGAGTAACTCATGTTAATGGTTATTAGTCTTATCGATGCTTTTAGCTATGATTAGTAGTGCTATTTAGGCTTATAATAATGATTGCTAGTTTAATTGATGCTCATACTAATGATCATTTGTGTAATTGATGGTCATATTAATGATTATTGGTGTTATCGACGCTCTGAGTGGTTTAATATTTGAGACGTGTGGTATTCCTCTAACTAGCGTTTAGATTGCCTGTGTGGCAATGGAAATAGTCTTTGTTGTAACCAATTGTACAACGTGACTCAGTCACAAACCTAAACCGACTACGGTTGCACTTCTCTTTGCTCCTTCATACGTCAACTTCGGTCACATCAGACGGTTGCTAATTGATTCTAACAAATTTAAATCTTATCAAATCCTGTTGACCGTCAGAACTTTGGATCATTTATCAATTAGTCAGGTTTTTTTATTTTTAAATACTTCTGATTGATTGCAGTCATCAAGAAATTATCTTCCTGAATGCCTAGATTTAAAAATAATTTTCATATGTGTTCTTCACTGGATAATTTTTTCAAAATTGGATATTTATTAGTTATCTTAAAATGAAATTTTTGGAACATAATTATATTTGGTGACAGCCTTATTTAATTTGGTAGGTAGGGATGCAGAAAAAACGTGGAGAGCTATTTTTAGCATTTTAATGGTACAAAAACACCTGTGAGAAATTAATTTGGTCTTTAAACAATGGTTTTCTGAACCATTTCCTGGCGCAGGTGGGGACTGCAGATTAGACGCAGTGCGTTGCAGTACTGGAAGGTGTGTACAGTTACGGCAACAGTGTGACGGCTACTGCGACTGCATTGACTGTGAAGATGAAGTTGACTGTGGCAATTCATACACCAAACATTCCGGTGAATAATGTAGTATAATTAATAATATTTAATATTCTTAATCAACCAGTAGCATGAATTATTTTTAGTCATTCATAGTGAACTGAAAATGTTGTGTGCTTTCTACGTGTATATTTTACTTTGTGCTCGTTAGTAATAAAATTTTAGCTATTTTTTATCTTCATAAATTTTTGTTTGAGATTAAGGTGATATAGGTTTTTGCACCTGCCTAAGTCATTCACTTACATTTTATGAATTTGATTATTACTTCAACTATTCCGACGCAGTGTAAAATATTATGAATATGTTGGTACCCATAAACTGTTGCTTAATCAAGCTTTCAAAGGAACAAAATTACTAAAATGAGGAAAGAATCATTAATAAATAAAAAATTCAATTACATTACAATTATAAAATTCAATTACGAAAAATTTCTGTGCTTGATGAAAGTTTCTAAATTTCTTGACAACTAATAAACTTATTTAATCACTTATTAATAGAAGGTAAGGTCATTAATTATAACATTATTTCTACTGAATATTATTTTCGTGTTACACATAATTACTTCGTAGTTTCCATCAGTTGACATGTCTGTAAATGACAAATACTGATACAGAAAATGTTCCTAGTTAAATGCAATTCTCATTTCGAAAATTTGATAAAATATACGATTTTTTAAGATAATTATTCACAAGACTAAAAACACATTATTTAGAATCATGTTCGAGATGCTCAAAATAGCTTACTCAATTCTTTTGCCAGCTCAAATCTGAGGCTTGATCGTATTGAACAAGCGAGAATGGGAGACTTTTGGTAGATACGAATCACTAAACTGAATATATTTCACATGTGCATTCAAAGACAAGCTGTGCTCTGCTTCTTGCAATAAAAAATAAGTTGGAGGCAAGTAATGGTTGATAATTATTTTCGTGGCTCATAAGCGATGTAAAAGCCACCATCGTAAAAACACTCGTTATTCAATTGGCTGAGTCATGTGAAGAAGACGAAAATTGTTAGCAAAATCAGGCCTCGTTCCGATAGCCGTTCTTACAGTCATCAGAGAGAGCGTTTTTTGATTGTGAACACCACAGGCCAGTCGTTTTGTTTGCTTTGGCTCGTCTTGTACATTGAAAAGCTGGTGCGCGGTCTGTTCTGTAGGACAATGACATGAGGGTTAAGCGGGAACACAAGAACTTCTGCACCATGAACATTTTATGTGTGTAAATGAACCTATGTTACTTAGCTTCTCGTATGAGCGTGTCATTTGAACTGGCTCTCGATTTTTCTTCGCAAAATATTTTCTGAGAATGTTCAGTTAATTGTCTCATTTCAGCAGTTAATTTCACTTTGGAATTTCTTAGAGTGCTTAGATAACAACCGTTTCTGATTAATTGTTTGAAAGAAAACTTGAGATTGAATATTTTGGAGAAACATACGCCATGAAGTAATTTAATACAAACATATAATAATTTAAAATTTATAATAATTTACGATATAAAAAGAAACAAAAAGAAGTCAATTATTGGAGGCACTTTATGCAAGTAAGCTGCTGTTAGCAATGCTTTATTAATCGTATGCCTTCCGTAGCAGAGTATTTTTTCATATATTCCAAAATTTTCCCATTGCTACTTCTTGTACATTTGTTAAAACTCATGCGGTTAGGATCCGATTTCAAGGTCTCGTTTTTACTAAGATTCACATTAAAGTAATTTTTTACACTGTTATGAAGCGAACAATTATAGAAAATGAATATTTGTTGGAATATTTTAGCTTTTGCGTTGGCAAAATGTCTCAATGGAAGAGAAAAATCAAGCCCTGCACAAATGCACGATATTTCAAAACAAGATCCACGTGTGGATAAATATAACTCAGCGAGAGTAAAAAACTCGCATGACAATAAATATGTTGAAATGATCTGCTTACCTCACAAATTTTAATCTTTTGATTAAAATGGTAGGCTGAATTATTCAGAGACGCAAAAAGTTGTCTAAAATCGATGCCGAGACGCAAAAAGTTGCCAAAATTCGATGCAGAGACGCGAAAAGTTGTCAAAATTCGATGCAAAGACGCAAAAAGTTGTCAAAATTCGATGCAGAGACGCAAAAAGTTGTCAAAACTCGACGCAGAGACGCGGAAAGTTGTCAAAATTCGATGCAAAGACGCAAAAAGTTGTCCAAATTCGATGCGAGGATGCGAATCGAGATTGCATTTCAGGTTTAAAATTTTTGCCGAGCTGCTAACACCGCATGCACTGCAATGCACTGGCAGGAAACATCTTCAAAAACAGACTAGACGAAGCTATGCAGGAGCATATGTTCAGTCTTAAAATGCCTAGCAAATTACGGACCAGGCAATAAGTCCAGTAATTATTAATTATTAATTATTAATTATTAATTATTAATTGTTAATTATTAATTATTAATTATTAATTATTAATTATTAATGGAGTGGAGCGGCAACAGTCAAAGTGTCTGAGTCGTCACCAGCTACACACCAGATTTGCGGTTCATACTGTTTAAAAGCGGGTTAATTTCAATGAATGGATCATAGAAGACAAGGTAAAATTCAGCAATTAATGGAAAACAGTAAATTCAAATGATGTTATCGTAAACTAAATTTATTCACCTGGGATTAAATTGCCACTCAGTGTACTGACGCACACTGAGAAGAATTGAATTTGACGAAAAAAGAAGAAATCAGCAAAAGGTTCTCCAAACGGAAATAAAGTAAGAAAAGCTTGAGATTGGTTCGTTGGAGTAAGATTAAAAGTAGAAGCGATTTGGGGTAAACTTTAAAATGAAGCTTGCGTTGGAGCCACATCCACTTATATATAAAAATTTAAAGTTTGATAGGAATATATTAGAATTGAAGTTTGAAACATCGCACACGATAATTAAGCATAGATTTGAGCGAAATTAACAAAACGAACGGATATCGGACATCGGGTTAAATGCCGGTGAAATAGTGGCGGTAGACGACAGGCTGGCTGGTCCGGATTTGACCTACAGTAAGCTACTCTACCATGAAACATACCATAGAATGAACTTGAACTATCTTCTTATTCTAGCGAAACAATATTTAAGGAATAGATAAAATTAAGTAATAGTTGGAAATTTTTCACGCAAGATCTAAAATAAATGGTAAAACTTTTTCAAATAAAGTCGTTAATTATACGATCCTGAAAGCCCATTTTTTTATTTTAATTACTGGTATACATCAAAATGTTTTTCATACTTAATTTGTTCACAAGGCATTCATGAGCAAATTAATTGGGGGCTGAGGAGAAATTAATGATGAGGAGTATATTAGGAAACCAAAAGGCCCCAAGTAATAATCTAGTTTAAAAACCTTGAATTTATTTAAAACTGTGTTTTTCAATTTCAATCACCAATATTTCCATGTATAGAAAAACAGTTTATTAATATCTAAAAAATCATTGTACTCCACGGATTATCTCCATAATATTTGAGTATCTGTTATACCCTTTCCATGGGTACTGATATAAAACTTACTGTGAGTTAGGAAAATTAGCTCACCATAGAGTAATAAATTTATTTAAATCGAGTGTGTCAGTCTCACAATCACGCTACCAAGTAATCAATTACTGAAAAGATGAAATGACTTCTTCACATTCGTATCAATTATTAAATACAATCATAATTTCCCCAGTAAAGCATACTCATGTATCTTCTTTTCCACACTCACACCCACTATAAATTCCGTTCGAAAAATCAGAAGTGAAAAAAAAACTCCACGAGTATAACTTCTGAGTTGTCAAAATTCAAGGCAAGGAGGCAAAAAGATGTCAAAATTCGGTGCAAGGACGCGAATTGAGAGTGAATTTCAGGTTTAAAACTTTCGTTGCGCTGCTAACACCGCATGCACTGCAATGCACCGGCAGGAGACATCTTCAAAAACAGACTAGACGAAGCTATGCAGGAGCATATGTTCAGTCTTAAAATGCCTGTGTGTGGCAGTGACGAGCTCTACTGCAGTGAGTGTTGTGTGACGTGCGTGGCAGTGATGAACTCTACTTGTTGAATATGAAATATAAGTATACTAGAAACGGCTCAGAAATTGAAATTCAACATTTAAATTCAAATTCCTTATGAACTTCTGTTATGCCCGTCACATAGAAAGGCATTATAAGGAAAGCTCAAGTTGTCATCTATCTCAGGCAACATCAGGTTTTCCTGCTGGTTAACTCCAACGGAACATTTCAAGTTACCATTGAATACACCTCTCATTATTTACTTGGTATTTACGTCTCTTTAGTGCAAATTTACAAATTTTAATCTCTTAATATTCGTGTTAAGTTTATTGAAAGGGTGAGGGGAGCAATGGATTAATTATGAATCAAGCTAAAAATAGAGTTCACATTCAGCTGATGTATATTAACAAACTGACCTTAATATAGCATAAAAGAATCATCATCCAAAACAGTGCACGTATTATCATTTCTTTCTCACTCAACTATCATCTTCAATTTTAAAAGTTAATATTCGAAAAAAATCCTTCCTGTAAACCCTTCAAACCACTAATGACAATTTGTTTATCAACATCAACCCATAATTTTCAGTGCCGTTTTAAAACTAAAACGTCATTTTAATGAATCAGGCTGTGCAAATGCAGTGCATATAAACGCTCAAACTAAGAGTTTCGAATCTAAATTTAGCACTTTCTTCTACTCAAGACACGACAGACTCAACATCCGCCCCGGAGCCGGACCAGTCTTGGGAGCTAGACTTGAATCCTCTTCCGTCGCCGCAGTGTCCGCATTCCGGTGTCCGGGTCATCGTTAAGACTTCAGGTCGCTCTCTCACAAAGCCCGACGATTTTTTCCAGTGCAGAGGAGAGAGCAGAGTGTTCCCTTTGAGCCATCGATGCGATTACTTCGTCGACTGCCTCCAAGGAGATGACGAGGAAAATTGCCGTGAGTTTTTCTTATAGAAGACCAATTTTTTCGGGAGGATCATAGGTTGTGCTTGCAGGGCAATGAGTGTGACTTTATTCATCATTAATGATTCCAATGAAAATATGAAAGCGAATGAAAGCTTCAAGGGTGGACAATACTTTTTGATTGCGAATTGCGATGCAATGCATACGTGGAATGACTGAGACTTCAATTCAACTGGTTTAAATTCCGTTTCAATTTTAGCGTCAAGCAAAAAGCGTGCACTGTCATTCGGTGGTCAATTTAAATATTTTAAATTACGAATGATAGGTGACAATTTTTTGCGTATCAACAATCCTGGAAATTTTGTATTAGTTTGAATATTAATGTACAATATGGCAGATTTGCGTACAAAATGTTGAGTCCTTTCCAATGACACTCAAAATTTTTCAGTATATTCTTTCATAAGCTATTAAGTTGCACAGGCATATGTCAAACCCTATATAACTATGAATAACTACTTAATTAAGAGCCTATCTGCTGTGAAAAAAGAAAACAGATTACCATCATGCCAAAAAGTAAAATACTAAGTCAATCTCAAAATAAGTTTCAAATTAACGCAATTAATTAACGCTAAGGACAACTGAGGAATATTAATTAGAAAGATGTTAGAGCAAAAGATTTTAGAATCATGAGATTACTCAGAAACATATTCGCGCACTGAAAAAGGAATATTTTAATATTTTTGTGAAACTAATTGAAACATCCCAGTTCTGTTGCGAATGCGGATTGAGAAGAGTATTGGCCGTTTAAAAAATTCGCTTGTCGTGTAGAAAATGAGTCTCCATTCTTTAGAATTTGTACCCGTTATCTGTTCAAGTCCGCTGAAGAAATTGATTACTTCCCACGTCCGAAATTGCCTCTCTCTAACGAACGAATTTTTGCCTCTATTGACATAATTGAAGTCTAATCAGCCGCCGAGACAGACAACGGAGTTAGAAGCCTAGGAAATTAATGTTGTGTATTGCAGCTTGAATGAGTTACAGGTCGGGCTCTTCTAGTACTTTTATTTGGTCTTTTTCTCATCATTTTGTCTAACGAAGGAGAAGAGTTAATCGTTTTGAAGTAAAATTTTTTAATTCCTTGTTGGATGTTTAATTTTAACTTATTGCAATTGACTAGGATTAGTTGATCCGTCATTAATTCATTATATTTTATGTATTCCGTGCCTCAATATGTGGAACTGAACATCATTAAGGTCATAATTAACGGACTAATGCACTCACCAGTCTTCAGTTTACGAATACTGAAAAATTTGAAAAAGGTGATAAATCCCATATGATGGCATCATAGCCACTCAGTTACAGCAAATAATTAATACAGAGCGATAAAAATACCGGTACTGAATCATTAAAGCTTTCAAGCTGACGGAACTGAAATAAGTTTAGCGTATTACTGGCCAACGCTCTATATTCTAAAATAGATACTAGTATAACTGTCAAAAACTTCTCTTAAAAATTGTCATGTGCGTAGAAATTCAATATCACTTTTTCCCATGTTCAAAAATATCACTCAATCTGAACACTGGAATGTTGTCGCTCCAAACAACAAAAACTTGGTCTCGTACCACTCAAACTTTGACAAAGCTGACACGATGGCTCTCTAAGTTGGCTCTGCTAACTGCAGTGGGTGGATTTCAGGCCGTAGAAGCTTTACCAGTTTCCGAGTCATGGTTACAGTGCAGGAGTTTTTTGCTTGCCAAACATTGCGACCAAATTGTTAAAGATTTCAGCGTCTGCAACCTAAGCCAACTTATTCGTTCGATGAGATTGATCAGGCATGTTACTAGAGCGCGTTTAATAGTTTTTTATGGTTTTATCTGTAAATGCTCGTGGAAAGGGTAAAATACTCATGTAATAATCGAGAAAATATTGTAAAGGGGATTTAAAGCGAAACAAAAAGATGAACACACGGTCAAAAGATATAGACATTAATAATCTACAATGAAAAAATATTTTTTTCATGTTCACGTTCAAATGAGTTTTTGAATTAAACTCTGAAAAATGAACAACAGAAAAATCTTGATGAAAAACGAAGCCATGCAACAGCAGTCAAGTAAGCTCAAAAATTATTCTGCAAGCATTCAACTTTGATGCACTTGAAAAACAGCAGTCGATAGAGTTTTTGATTCGGATCCGATGAACATATCATGCACGAACACACGATGCTCAATCGTCCAACTCTCTCTCGCTACTTCAATGCCGTTTCATGACGAGCCGATACTTCACTTATTTACCCCGAAGTTATCTCTACCTCACGTGGTGTTCCGCTCAAATTATCCATACATCGCTGCAGAACCCTGTACATGAGTGATTTTATATGCGAGAACGCACGAATAAATATAAAATTTTATTTCGAGAGTGAATGAGTAAATATAAATTTCATTTCGAAAACGCATGAGTAAATATAAAATTTAGGTCAGTCTTCCTATGGCAATTGTAAAATGTCAAATGAGATACAATGTTGTCATTAAGCTTCTTCGTGCTCAGCTGCGACCGAATGCGGACCCGGCGAATGGCAATGCAATAATGGCGAATGCATCGACGCTCGTTCCCGCTGCGATAACGCCTTCAACTGCAGGGACAAGAGCGACGAGATCGACTGCGGTAAGTAACACTATAAAATAGAGACATTCTCTCTAATTTCTTTTTACAAATACTGATCATTGTTCATTAGATCACTTATATTTCTTCAAGGCGCCTTAGAAATGGTTTAATCGTGATTTTATTCAAACCGAGCATCTATGTTAATCGTTAATCCATTGCACTGCAATGAATTTCTGATGCAAACTGATTGAATTTAGAATGAACTTGACACAAAGTTTACGGTGATTAGGTCTTGCATGAAAAAGGAGCAAATCTATAGTGTAAGATAAATGCTAAAAGCTGCACGCATCAGAGAAAGATATAATACTATGAACTATATGCATAGAGGGGCAGGTAAAATTATATTGCATCCATGATACGAGGAATTAAACTCGCCCAAAAACATCCTATCTGAAGTACGAGTTCATATAAGACTTCATGAGAACTGATAACATCAGACGATATTAATAAAATTAATATCGCTGGACTGATGGTGCATCATATATCGCGTCCGGCAGGAAGCCAAGCCTGTGCAGAGAAGAGATGTGAAGCAGGACAATGTATCAGCGAGCGACAGTGGTGCGATCACAAGCCCGACTGCCTCGACCACAGTGATGAAGCGCAATGTGGTGAGTGTCTCTAACTGCTGTACAATTTATGGATTCTATAATGTATTTTTCTTTTGCAGATTCATGTTTGTATATACTAATATTCATATTAGTATGGTCCGGTGTGGGAGGATTGGGTATATTTTTGTGGGGTGAAGCAATTTGCAAGATGTTTTCACGATAATAAGGTTGAAAGGTTATCATAATACTCAGTTTCATAGTAGATTTAGATAAGCAAAACGACAACAGTGGTTGCAGTTCTTTGAACGTTCAATATGAGCACTGGTCATTTTTCTCTTAGAAGCAATTTTTATTTTATTTCAAAAATAGTGTAGAAGATTAGTTGCACCTGAAAAATGCATTTATCATGTGCAAGAGTGTATATACACTTAAGCATAAGCGTTTAATTAATTAATCCAAACGAATTACTAATTTTATATTGAATACTGTAAAACTGGTATACCTACACTCTGCCACAAGATGATGTCAGGATGATTTACTAAAGTCTGTTAACGTAGCAAAAATTTTTGGTCTGTTCTGAGCTATATTACCACGACCCACTTTATTAGTCTGTTTATTCCTAAAATGGGTCAAGTCTGGCCTTGTCAAGTCTGCTGTGCGACAATGCCCCTTCCTGAAAATTTACTTAAAATACTGTTTTACTGACAAGCAATAACTCTCAGCTTTTCCTCAGTTTATTTTTTTCGTTTTTTATTTTTTTTTCGTGTGGCAATATTGACAGGCAATAGAAGCAGTGTAATTTCCTTCACCGATGGCTGCGGCCGGGGGCTTCTAAGGTCAATAAATAAACTTTTCCTTCAACTTGCCAGCGAAATCGAGCAACTTCGTTCCTCGTTGAATCAATTACTCGCAAATCTTTGAACTTGCGCACGCTTCACGAAACACAGTTTCTTATTAAGCGCACGGTTAATAAACTGCTTGAAATTATTGCAGCGTTTACTAAATTAAATTGAACTGCATGACGAAATTCTACGATATTTTTGCACAGCTGTACAATATTAGGCGGACATAATTCTTTCGGAACATGCCTGCGCTATGCTAAACCAACAATAATATGTTAGCGGGAATATCTCAAGAGCCCATGGATTGGCAAGTAACAACTTCATCGGGTGCTCGATAAAAGTTACTTTCTAAGTTTGTGACTACAAATCTGGAATGAGTACTTAGATTAACTTTTGTTCTTTTCAAATCGGGAAACTTTGTCGTTAAATTGTAATCGAGGAACTTAAAATTGGTTCTAACAGCCTCATCGGTCGGAGTTGGGCAGTCACTATATTCCGGTGGAGAATTGTAAAAGTTTATTCATTATTTTCATGAATTCTGTTGCAAGAGATATTGGAGACTCAATATTTTTAGAAAATATATGCAAATCAACAAATGAGTTTTCTGAAAATATGTACTTTCGAAATGTACTTATTTCAATACTAGAGAAGCTAAACTACAGCTGAGCTAGTTCAGTACTTTAATAACTTGTTTTCATCTAAGCGACTATCTACGCATTTATATGCGGCGAATAATGAATTCTTACTGATATATCACAGTAATCGTTTGAGCTTCTCAGATTTTTTTGCACGCGATTTTTAAACATAGCGGGGTTTGCATGTGTTTGCTCGATACAGCGCATCGCAATAGATTCTCATTGAAGTATGACATTATTGTGGTTTTAATTAATAGATATGATATTACATGCAATGAGATATCTTTTTCGTTAGAGTCCTTGTTAACTATGTCACTGTCGTGAAGGTTTTTGAGTTATTCACCACAGCTAATTTGTGTCAGAACTAAGTGTCTTTATTTAGTGAATCTTTCAACCAGCACCAAATTTACGTCGAACGACGGCTATAAATATTTGAAAATAATTTCGTATTAAATGAAATGGAATTCCAGAATAATTTGTAAAAATTATGCGGACTAAAAACTTCAAATATTGAAATACTGACTACGGTGACAGACTCAAGATGAATGAAATATGAAGCTTCTCTCCGCAATTGAAAAATGGTTAAAAACGAATTGGTAGTGTCATTCTTGATACCGGTAATTTGGCAGTATCACTGAATAATAAAATTAAATAAAGCATGAGATTTCTCCTCCTGCAATGTATTGAAAGGATTCTAGTAATTCTGCCACTCCTTCCTTAATTTTTGTCTTCGGTAAAATATATAATACCAGTTCCTTATATACTGGTTCCTGAATTCCCATGGCAAGAAATAAAAAAAACTCGATGCAGAGGAATAAAAAAATGGTCTTACTTTTAAACATGAGTTTTGGTCGCGATGTATTTTTAAAACAAATGGGAAAACTCATTTTTCACCCAGCAAACAAATTTAAACGAAAAAAATCTCAGTAACATAAATACCCGCCTTATAAGTTTTCCTTGCATTATGTGAATCATTGTCAATGTTTTTCTTCATCCATTACGTGGCCACCGAAAATTCTTCGCTAAATTTCAGAACAGAGATGCGGTGAGGTTTTTTTTTCTTGTTTGAAGCTCAAAGCAAGTAGATGTTTTGTAGACCTTGAGAAGTTCGTGCCATTAAAAATATTTTGCTCTCAACTTTCAGAAAAGTGAGAAGGTTCGTACGGGGCTTTGTGCTCGAGTTTCAGGGCGCAAATTAATTGTCTTAAGTTTAGAGATGCGGTAATCCAAGACACTGAAAGTTATAGTGATACTTGATCGTGTTCTATGAGTTGCCTAAATCATGAAAATAAGCCAAGACAGTCTACATGAAATAATTATTTAGTGCCCAAAATTTAAAATATTCAACAATTAAATGTGTGAACAGTCCTTTTTATAAAGATTGGGTCTACTTAATTTAGGTCCAATACCCAAGTCGAAAGTTACTTTAATAAAGATATAAGCATAATAAATACAGCAAGTGAGTGGGTTTCGAGTAGCGTAGAGTTGAAATAGAGTTTCTTCAGCTCTCTATTAATAAAATTGAAATTTTGCAAGGAAGAATGCACACTTTTAAAGGAAGCGAGTCAGAGACGATATCATCAGTGTTAACTGCCACTCATTGTTAACAATATGTGTCGCCAAAATGTACTGAGTGGTTGAGGCTCAATAGTTTATAAATTTCAATACTCCAATCGAAAAATTAAGTACCTATATTATATTTTGTCAAAAAATATTTTGAAATGTTTTCTAATCTGACATTTGCATCTGTTTTATGTGATTGTCCTTCTCTCTCATTATTGTCAGGACGAAAATCCTTGCTATGGACCTCGCTCATGTTTTTCAAGTAGTTGATCATACTTGCGTGCATCGCAATAACATTTTTCAGAACACATTCGCAGCTTATTAGCATTAGATAATATATATAAGTTGCTATTGAACGACAAGTCTGACGGCCATTTCAAATAAAAGACACGCTCATCACAAATCTTTGAAACGTTTCCTGTTCCTATTGTTAAAGCAGGCATAACTTGCGCTGCAATGCGTATCATAACACAAGCATAGGTATACGTCTTTCCAACGAAGCATTGTCCCACAAAAGAATTGACTATAGGCCACACTTGACCCACTTGAGGGACAAACGACTAACTAAAGTGAGTCTCATCTTCTACGCAGGTTTCCCAGCAGTCTGTGCGCGCGGGCAGTTCCAGTGCGCCACGGCAGCGCAGTGCATCGACGCTGCGCTGCGCTGCGTTGTCCCTGCGGCTCCCAGCGCAGCCTGCCACGACAACTCCCACCTCGTAGACTGCCGTGAGCAATGACAAATATCATTATTTTACTAATAACAAAATTAAAAAGCTGTATAAATACTACTATCATTGTTTTACTACTAATAAACATATTTTTCTACTAGAAAGAAGCTCAATGAAATGATTAAAATCATTTCATTGAACTTCTTTTTTTTTTGAGTGAAAGAAGCTCGCATTGTTCAGAAGCTTTCCAAGCCCTTATGTCGTAAATGTTAAAAATTATATGCTATTTGATGCTTTTAAACCTTTAATTTTAATACATAGTCTGATATGAGCATTATTTGGATAATTTTTAGTGAATAAAATATTTCAAATGGATCCAATCAACTCGAGAAAATTAACTAATTATAAATCAAAAATTGATATTCAATCACCTTATGCATTAAGGAAGTTTCCAAGTATTTTTTATTATCAGAACTAAAAATCTGAATTGATTTTATATTTCTTCTTAGTTTGAGACAGTATATTTGTCGATCATATTTGAACGAATACAAAATGTACTGTCAAATAGAAGAACATAATTAGTTCCGTATCATAATTTAGATTATTAAAGACACACAGACGCATTGAAATTCGCACACGACGCCTCAAAAGCATATCCTAGGATGCCAAAAATGTAATAACATTTAAATACATGAAAATTAGTAGATTTTTGACAGAATTTAATAGTTATAAAATATTTCTACTCATGGTTGAGATAAATATTATTAATCAACTCATGGGTGAGATAAATATTATTAGTCAACTCATGGTTGAGATAAATATTATTAAATAACTTCAGCAGCTCGTGACTTCGTCACAGTCCTCTGAAAATTCATACTTCATCCGTCAACAAGTCGGGAACTTTTGGCGAGAGTGTCTGCAAAGTTTATTTAAAGATTGTCTGGTAAATTTGATTGAAGCGTCTTCTCTAGGACTGAAAAAACTTCTATGATTTTTACTGGATCCAATCTTTGTTGCATTCTATTTTGCAATAGCAAATGCTTCATAGGAAATTATAACCAAATAATAAATGATCGGTTTCAGAAAATTTAAACTAACGTGCAAAGAGATATAAATTTATTTTCGTTTCAGGCCAGATTTCACTCGTGCTATTATTCGCTATGTAGTCAGTTAGGCTTGGAGCTCGAGCCAGTGAATTGTGAGTGAACACTGCTTGCTTTTCCATTCCAAAGGTGAACTAAATTCTTTCTAATTCAATTCAATAGAGATATTGACTCTATTATTATTTCTGTTATTCAATATTTATTATTGCTTAGATACCATTTTCTAACATATTTTGTCTGAAGTTCAAATTAATTCAAGTCGAATTCAAATTCAATCAAGAAAAGAACAATAAAGCAAAGTTTGTATTTTTCAATATAGTCTCTTCATTACGCGAGTAATTAGTGAATTTTTAACTGGAAATTATTGTTAAGAATTTTCAGTTTTTACTATTGTATTTGAACGAAACAACAATTACTCGTAGTCAATATGTAAGAGACTTGTTTCCGTGCTCTGGATTTTGCATAACGCTCTGTGATGAATTTTCTGGATCCTGGACACAACAGACAAAAATTTCAATTGTATCTATCGGAACACAGATGTAAAACAACTGTTAATTTTGATCAAAACTCCTAATGCTGTCGGATTCTCTATCTTAATTACGCTGTTTTAATTTGTGTGAGAGAAAGAACGTAAATGTGGAATTGATTCCAGATTATCACTAAACATTCACACTAGATACTTCTCTGCTAATAGCAATTGTTACAACAACAATGTGTGAAATATATATTAGATAAAAATAACACTCATTATTATGATAAGTTTTCCAACTCTTTTGATTAAACTGACAATATTCTTAAAAGCTATTTAAGCATTAAGTCCTCTAGCTGGTTTAAGATGAATTTAAATGAATCACTAGTTAAAAGTTAAATTATTTATGTCACTCTAATGCGCGCAATGCAAATTTGCAGTCCATTCTAACTACTTACTTTGATATCCATGTAACCCGTTCTATAAACTTTGAAAGGCATTAATTTCCCCCACCATATATTAAACTGTAATATTATATAGCGGCTAAAAATTGGAAGGGGTAGATGTTCGGATAGAAGCACCCAGATACATATAGAAACTTGACGGAAATATATAAAATGAAAATCGTTAATTCGATCTTATGTTTCCTCAAAATTATCCATCTAATTCCATCTGGCTTATTTTATAATCTGGCTCAATTACTTGATTATGTATTGTTAACATGGACTGTTCCCGTGGAGCACCGATATTAGTTGCGTAGTTGTTCTTGATTATAATTGTCAGGCAGACAGAACGCTTGTTAATAATATAGGTTTAATTGGGTTACCTGCAGTCCAGTTACCGAGCTGATGTTCTGTAGACTAATTAATGTCGTATTTGATGTTTACCCTCACGCAGGCTTCACTGCTCTGAAGCAATGAAGGGAAATTGCCCGGAAACTAAATTTATTATCACACCGATACTTAGACATTCAGGCTGAAAGCGAGATAAATTTCTATTCCTGTGCCATCTTTTCAATTATCAGTTATTTTGTTTGTAGTTTTTTAGCGAAAGAAAAAAATAAGAATTTTTCTGAGACTAACCTAATTGTTTCACTATTGAGTAAATTCTCTGCTATTTTCGTCCAAGCCTCCCATTTAATCATAAATTCATCGATGTAGGGTACCATTGGCTACAAATTACTCAAGTTAGTAAATACATATCTTTCAAATGAAGCATTCCAATTTCTAAAGAGTTTACTCGTCGTATCCTCGACATCTGATTCTTCGTTATGTGAAATTCTTACTATCAATCGTTTTCATTTTTGCAGTTATTCGATTTCCTTTCCAACGACAGAAATTCATTGCGAACAATTGTCGTCAGACCAAAGGTTATAATAAATGTTTTTTCAGGCAGGAACTATTAAGAATAAGGTAAAGCCTAGTAGGCTTGCTCAAATTGATGAAGATGTCCAGGCTCAAGAAATAAAATTTAACATCAATAAACATTACTCCAATTTGGAAAGATATCATTTTGGTTGGCAGGATTAACTTGAGGGCGTATTGAAAATATTATATTGGTTAAATATTTCTCTTTGCTGCAATAATAGGCCATAGATTTTAAGAAGAAGTTCCTTTGATTTGACATTTGTTTGAATGAATCGAATATAGATGAAAAAATATATGCATCATGAGGTAAATTTTTTAGATTTAACGAATATCTAAGGAGTGTTCTTTACAAATTTACAATCCTCTGACTTGGAAAATTTCATTAACTTGAAAAGTTAGATGTGAAATTTTCGAGCTTAAAATATTTATGAAATGATAATTTGAAAGTTCAAACAGCTAGGGAATTAGGGCGATGCTGTTGTACCCTAATCTCTGTAATTGACTTCATCGTACTCACGAAATTGTAGGTTGCAAACTTATCGCCAGAAAAATTTTTTTCAGCCCGATTTGGAAATAATATTCACTATTGAAGTAGAAACTTTCATGGGCTATCTTATATTCTCGTTAATTATTGGACAGATTTTCCATAAAAATTGTTTTGCAATGCTTCAATTCTCGCGGTAATAAAATACTTTCGATAACCTGCAAAGTAAAGCTTTAAAGCAGTGTTAACTAATTATTTAAATTGAAATGGTAAATCTCATGCCAAAATTCTAAATTAAACTCAAACTAAAAACAACATTTTTCATTTATAATTAATTAATTAATTAGAGGATTATAACTCTGTTGACAGTATGTTATATTAAAAGACAGTGATATGACCTTATAAAAATTTATAAAAGTTAGTCTTACCTCGAGGACTGATATTTACGTAAAATAATCAAAAAGTCTGCGCGTTTGTAGTTTAAGATATTGCTATAAAGTCTGAATAGTTGCGAAAATCGAAGTTTAATGTTAAAAAATCGTACAGACTTCATATAACAAAATTTAAACTTCTCTATTCAATATCTAAATTCCGAGATGAAATTGTCCGATTTGATAGCTTGTTAAGAAGTTTTTATCGAAACATTTGTTGCAAGAAGAAAAATAATTTGTTCTTGACAAAGCAAAGAACACGTGGAAAGATTGAAATTATTGCGGAAAGAAGTCAATCCTGCTCAAAAAGTATGATCCTGCTAATGATTGCTGAATTTTATGATCCCCAAAATTATTTACTGCTCCGTCGTAAAAAATAACTTTTCTCCGAGCCAAAACAGAGGTTATAAATTTATCAATAGAAACTTTCCCTAATTAGCGCGGATTTCGTACAGCAGGCGCTCAGCGGGAAGTAAAATATTTAAAAATTCCTTTTGAAACTGATGTTGTTTCATTATTTACCTTTTTAATCTAATGTATTGCCGGAAAAGAAAACTTGATATATTTTTTCATAGAACCTACTGTGTCTTCGGAAATAATTCAAGTTTTTTGGAGGTATAAAGTATAAAAGTAACCTAATTAGCAGAGATTTATTTAAATTTGACAATTCAAGTGTCGCACAACACACTAATATTTATTATGGAAGTTGGCAATTCAATATATTTACTATAGCTCTCCAAGCGAAATATCTTTCGGTTCTTTCAGCAGCTTATCTTGTTGTATGCGTGAGGAACTGAAGAATTATATCTCTTAAAGGTGCCTTCTGCATGAAAATAAATCCAGTTAATATCTTTGCTACCCTGCAAGTCTCAGGCAATTATGAATATAGAGAACTAAATTCACTATGTTTACAGTCAGGGGCCTTCTGCATAAAAATGAATCCAGCTAATATCTATGCTACCTAGCAAATCTGAAGCAATTATGAATACTGAGAACTAAATTCACTATGTTTACATTCCAAGTAAATTATTCATGAAAAAATATTTGTTTGCTTGTTTCACCGCAGACTGGAAGTTGTGTGAGCCTCATCAGTACAAATGTGTGAGCGGCGCGTGTATAGACAAGAGCCGCAAGTGTGACGGCACCGCTGACTGTATGGACTCATGGGACGACGAGGACATGTGTCGTAAGTATTATTAAGATATTAATATTAATAATATTATATTACTACTTGCTTACTATTATATTATAGTAAGTAAGTATTATTAAGTATATATAGTATATAGTAAGTATTATTATATAGTATATTACAGTAAGTATTATTAAGATAAATATTTAGTTTATTTTCACTACGTGCTCTGTTGTTGGTTTTATATTGAGAATTAAGCGCGACGTTGGTTGATCAACAAGATGATTAGTTATCAAACAACCCGCGATTTTACTGATGCATTGCGAAAGTTGGCTGGAACTCGAGCCCTCATTATCACCGACCGAAACCAGAGGCAAGTTTTTGTTTGCCGCCACATTTCGTGTAATCAGCAACACAATAGATGAGGTTTGCGGCACTACATGCAGTGTTAACATCAATAATAAATTGAATGGATCCCTTAAAAGAACTGTGAGGAACCAACTTTGGATTTAATTCTAAATGAGATAAGCACACCACTGCTTTTGATCACGAATTGACTACATTAGTTTATGTGAGAAAAGTTGGCTTGTGATGATAACCGGTCACAAGCATTCGTAGAGGTCGGGCATGCAAACATATAAAAGATTTATTGTTTATTTTTAGTCATGAATAGAATAAATAATGCAATATTGCAGTGACGCATCACAAGTCAAGTCTAAAACTGAACTGATAAAAGATAGAGACGCCATTTTCAAATAAATTCTTAAAAAAATTTCAACATTGAAGAGTTAGATTATCGAAAATGATTAGATTCACTCGATCAATGTATTGTTAACGGTAGTTCAAGAAGGCATTGAATTTGCAGTTGCCAGGAGTATTGACCAACTTTTTAGCTTTAAACAGTTAACAGAAAACCACGCATAAATTAAACCAAATTACAATGAATGCTCATGATAATGAAATGTGTGTCTTCGGCTTCAATGTTCGTTGTGGTTGACATTTACTTGAAAATGGCCAATATATTCAGGCGTGGCTTTTTCTGAATTCTTATTCATAATTAGCTCAGCATGACTTTTTCCTAGACTACCCAACTGGCTGAGTTCCCTCGGTTTTTAACTCTTCAGTTCATAGGTGGCATTTTGCTAGAGAGCAATGCAATATAAACCTTTGCAGTGTACGAGAAGTCATGTCATATCAAGATGCAAAAAAAGAACAGGTTACCATAAAGATTATATTTCACGGACATTACAATATTGCTCCCTGAAACATTGTTGTGCACTCCGTTTAATTAATTTTAAGCAGAGAGCACAACTTTGTGCATAAATTTAATCACTATGAGCATAAAATAATTCCTATGAGCATAAAATTAAGAGTTATAAGTTTTTCGTAACTTAGATTAAGATTTGCGATGAAATACAGCATCCGTACAGGTTGAAGCTATTAGTTTAATACAAAGTACATGAGTTTACTGTTGCTAAAACTCGTATTGCTACAAGAGTCATCAATTGTAATATATCTTATATAAATAGTTTCAACTTTTATCACATAGCAATGATAACGATGAAAGCAAGTGATAATGCAGCAGTTTGTGAGAAAATTCCAGTTCACTCCGCTAATCCATATTTGCTCCTTATTTATGCTTGAATTGATAATTCCTCATGGCTTGGGCCCCAAAGAAAAGGGAAGCATGTATATCTGGGCGGGTTTCTTTATATTCCTCCCAAAATATACACAACCATGCACTATTGAGTGTTGCAGCTCAACAAGTGATGCAAACCTGTGGTATCCATCCTGATAGGTACATATTGACGCACAACTTTTTGCCGCGGCATAAAGTTGTGACTCGTTAAACAAACTTGAGTTTTCGTGCCACATATAACGCTAATAAATATACTTTCCTGCATTTTCCAGCCTTCAATTGCTCATGGAACGCGCTGTGTAGCTGCCATCACCTCAGCGCCGATTGCTCCTTCTTGAACTAGACTGTGAGAGCACGTATTTCCTTACATCAATAAGATCGCGCGACAGAAATCATTCACTTACACTTGACCATTCTCAGTGTTGGACGATGAACAGTACTGATAATTCCATAATGATTCCGTTATTCTGCTTGTCAACGTGAATTTTCTAAATTATATTGATTGTTCTGCAGTTTTTTCTCACTAATATTTTTTATTATTATTCGGCTTCAAACTCTGTTAACTGAAATATAATTTTGAAAATGATTATATAATGTTAAAATATTCGACAAATTTTACATATATGTTACCTGTTATATACATAAGGATATGCTCAATAATATATCTTGAATGTGTATGTGCGTTGAAAAACTCAACTATTCAACACATACTCAGGGGAATGTATGCAATTATGTAATAGCTTTTGTTGCTATTAAAGATCTAATATTACACATATTTCTGGCAAAAATATGGATAATCGAGCCCTCCACATATTGTGTTGAGAAACGATCAATAAAACTTAAATAACTCATAAACCTGCGCATGAGAAGCAGAAATTGACACGACAACTCAATCTGCTCGACAGGAACCTGTCGGGCAACAGCCTGGGAGATGCCCTACACGCGTACGGCCTCAACTGCAGCTCGCGTCTCGTCTCTCTGTGAGTTCTAAAAAATATTCCAAAAACTTCAACGCTAGATTTTATTTTCGGGAGTTGGAAACTCTGTGGGGAATTGTGATTTTTTAGCCGAAGAATTGAAGTTTAGAATTTATTTGTGTTTTTAATTTCATATAATAAGATTTCAGTTAGACCTTCTAGCTTTGAAAGCTTTGAAAGAAAGTTGAGTTTGACCAAAAGAGTTTGATTGCGACTAACGGAGATTTAAGTAAATGAAGAGAACAAAATAAGGCTTCGAAATTGATGCGGCAAAACTTTAATGGGTGATGGAATATTTCTAAAAATTTGTATTAGCAAGTGCAATGAACGACAAGGCCTGATTCATTCAATGAACAAGAGAACGGTCTAAAAAATATAACTCAGTACTTACAGCAGTGAGTGACAGAGAGCGCATTTTCTCGTCGACGAAAACTTGAGGTCACGGACAGACGGACGGACAGACAGACAGACAGACAGACAGACAGACGGACATGGCGAGCACAATAGTGCATTTTTTCCATAAATGAGAAAATGCGCTAAAAATTGCGTTGAGTTTGAGAAATAATTTAAAATTTAAATTAAAATGCAGATTCCAGATGTGAAAACTGAATTTCTTACTCACAAAGTTTCTCGCAGTTCCCCGCATGGAACAAGAAAGTGTATTTGTTAAAACTTTTACACACAAACATTTACAAACTTATCTAACCATACGTAAAATCCGTCTTCTCTGCGATGTAACGATGTAACGATGAACATACGTAAACGATGGAAAAATTGTGCATGTTGTAATTTTTTCCGTGGAAATTGGATACGCGCATCAAAAATTATCTTTCAATGAGACTAATTTATACATTCATAAATGAAACGTTTGCATTATGCCTCAATTTGATCAAAGTTATCATGTCAGTTCACTCAATTATGGTCATGCATCATTTTGGGAATATGTCGTTACGTAAAAGTAATGGGTATCAATTAAGTGAAAGAATCAACATCATTATTAAAGTTACACCAGCTTCTGCCACTGTGAAAACATAATGGTTCCCACTAGAATATGAAGTCAGACCTAGCTCGCTTAAATTTCAATCTGAGTATTATAACATTATCATATTACTAATACAGACCTGTGGAATCCAATAATTTTGTGTGATTAATAATTTTGTGTGGTTGATGCAATGATATGATTATTATTTCATTGCATCAACAGCCACATTACAAAACTATGATCTTTTACCTTGCTAAATGATTCCAGTTTAATAACAAAAACGAATAGCTAAAAGGTGAATCATGATTTATTTTACAGCTGGGCCTATATACCTATGACTTTATATTTGAATATCCTCTAATATATGCATGAATCAACATTACTCGTATATTTTAGTAACTAAAGATTCTATCCCTGCGAACAGTTGCTGGAAAAATTTTCAAATTTGAAAATTGTCTAATTCTCAAATAAAGATACATAAAAACGTTTTTCTGGTCTAATTAGTTCCATATCATTCATGTAAAACTCATTTTGTGAAATAAGAACTATCGAAGAAAGAAAAAGCTAAGGGATTTTTAATATCTGTCCAGGCGACGAGGTATGCAATAGACGTGTTCCAGTTTTGGTCCGTGTTTTTCGTTAGACTTTCTGTGCATGTTTGCATGCTGTCCAATATAGCGATAACGTTCCACTGGTTCTTCTCATATCGCCGCAACAAACATAGCATCATCATAGATAAAAATAAATCTTTCTGGGAGCTAAAAAAAATTCAAAAGTATATACGGGAAGAAATGACAAAGCTTTTAATTGTGCGAAAACGTCAAGCAATAGCCATTTCCTCATCATCTCTTACCCTTTGAAACTATCATGTGCTTTGAAAATAATTTAATCATCAAAGTTATTCAACGTAAGACAAGTAAGTTCAGTGCGAAATATCGGTGAAAAATTTTCATTGTGCTTCTCGCCGGTACATAACAGACTACGGTTTCGATTCAGTTTATTTTGGTCCCGACTTTAACTCATGCTTCGAGTGAAGAATTTTTTCAAAGGTTTCGAACACGGGATGAGTTTACATAGGCCTGCCAAGGGAAAGATTTAATTTTATGCGATGTGTAGTCTAGTTTAATTGGAGGAATAGCGTGAAGCGCTGATGCCTCATTCTACTAATAATAATTCGAGTGAATAGTAAGATGAGGTTTTCATAAAAAACTTAGAAGAATAATTCTAGAATGACATTGCTTGCTATTATATCTATAACATGTTACATGTTATGAGTCAATAAGTTACAACTACTACACTGTTTCAAGTGTGGTTAATGGCAGCTAAAGTAAGAAAATTACATGTTTACCTGAACTAAGGCTGGAAGATAAATCGTTTTTACTCGCAAGCTCACGAATGAGTGAAGAATTTATGAGTATTCAACGACATTATATATGCAAAGCAGATTTTTCAGAAATAATATCTGCTGAATTTTGTATATTCCATTCTGGGAGCGCAGAACACTTTAGTAAAATGCAGACCATTCGTGAATTTTAAACTAAATCAGTTACAATAAGGTGTACGCTTTACTGTAAGAATAAAATAAAATGATATTTAACTTTATGGAAGTCGAGTTAAACATGTTACGTTAATCATCATTTGAAAATATAAAATTGAAAATTTTTCTCCAACCATCAGTCCCATCAGTCAGAGAAGATCATTCTGATCATTCACGAATTATCCAAAGAATTTACATGAAAAAGTTTGTTAACAATTCTCAGCCCATAGGTAAAACAAAAACTCTTCTAAATCACGACTGAATTCAAACTATTGTTCGTGTTTCAATAAAGATAATGGGATCAATTTGAGAAGAAAGACTCCACGCTTGAAGTGAAGATTTAGCTAAAGATATTATCTTAACTGTCTACGTAAAATGTGCGGCTCGTTATTTTTTGCGGCTCGTTAGCGGCTGTCATTTGCTTCTACTAAGTCATTGTTCGCGCCAATGACGAATGGCAACCAAATACTTAGTATAAAGGTAAAGTGTGTTGAAATATGAAACTCTCACCGAAAATTAGTACCGTATTTTGTTCCTGTTCACTGCAGCATAGCAAGGTTTACTGAAACTTGGGACGGATAATTGGTATTGAATACTTTCTCTTTAGCAAGTCTCTTGTCTCTGATGACTTGATGACGATTGACCGAAACTCAAAACTGCTCGTTGAAACTCGTGGATGATTTATTCTTGACGACATTTATTGGCTAGACCTATTGTCTTCCTCATTTGAAGAACAAAATCACGGCGGGAAACTGTCATTAACAAAATGATTGAAATTTGATGCTGAAATGATGATTTTTCAGTGATCAAAATCATTAAAATAAGTCATTGTCCTCTCGGCCTGAATTTCGATATCTGAAATATTATGTCATTGATGTTTAAAATTGACGGCGATTCTCTTGAATTCAGCTTAATCATAAGAATCTTTTGTCTCTGTATTAGACCTGACTAAATGTTATTGTCTTTGCGACATATCACGTGACCTTTCGCGACTACATATCCCTTATAAATACAAATATATTTATTTATAAATAATCATTTCGATTTAACATCTTTCCATTCACATGCATCAAATTAGCATCTTTGTTCATTCACCACAAAATATGCCCAAGTCAAAAATATTTTCAATGGCGAATGTTTTATTTCACTTCTTTATGTTGGAGCTACAATTAAGCAAGTATTAAAAAAATATTACTCAGTACTCACTGCAGTGAGTGACAGAGCGCATTTTCTCGTCGACGAAAACTTGAGGTCACGGACAGACGGACGGACAGACGGACAGACAGACAGACAGACAGACGGACGGACGGACATGGCGAGCACAATAGTGCATTTATTCCATAAATGAGAAAATGCGCTAAAAAGGGTTTGTCTAATAAAATTTCAACTTCGAGTATTTGAAAAAAACCAAGGTTGCAAATAGTCTGCGGACCTTAAAACAAAGATTTCATTATCTCTCTGGTATTAAAAGCACTACCGTCAATTTATCTGGAATTGATATCGAACACTACCGTCAGAATTGCAATTTTATAGTTTTATGCTTGGACTTGAAAATGAATGATATACGATCCTACCTCCTGAAATCCTTCTTCTATCAGAGAGAATTTTTCGTTGTAGACAACGACGTTTCAGCGTATCATTAGGCTTAAAATTTTATATTTCCAGTTGAAAGACGGGTAATACAACGTAAAATAATACGTAACACAACGATAATAAAAAAGTAATTTCCAGTATAATTTATTTATTCGGTCATCATACGGTAATAGGGTTAATCAGCATATTTTTCAGGATAAATGCGCGTCCTTAAATCAAAACACTTAATTCTGGGGGTACGACTACCACGTGCGCAGTATTTAGTTTCTTCATTGGACTGTGTTGCATTAAATGACAGCACTTTTAGGTGTTATATTCTATTTAATGCTCTACAATATTCCCGTAAATGCTGATTAATTAGTGATAAGGTCCAACCTACACAGGAAGTATTATTTATCATATTGCGTACGAAATTTGAAGTTAACTAAACAATCCCTATTGATAATATAAGGACATGCTATTAATTAGGATCTTGAGTTGAATTCGCACAAAAATATAATAATATAATAAAAACAAATCGAACAAAAAGATTTTTAATATTTGTAAAAATTGAGTGATCTGGCTTCAGAAATGTGCTACTCGAACTCATTCGAAAAGTGCTATGCGAGTCATTCGAAAAATATTTGTTACATATATAATCAAATAATTTGTGACAATATTATATTTTATTGAGACCTGAAATCAAAGCGAATATAAATGGTATTTAATTATTTACCTGTTCCCCGCTGTTAAAAAATTTCGTTTGGAACGATCAAATTAAGATTTCCAATTAAAATTCGTTACTATATCGAGAAATTTTCAAATGTTATCATTGAATACATTTAGCTGCACGTAATGGAAATAGAGCTACTCTAAATCGATGTCAAGAAACTGCTTATCTATCGAGCAATTAATATCAAGGCAATTAACATAAAATAAGCGGTAAAAATTGCGTTACTCAAGATCAATCATATATACAAAAATTCAATATCTTGTGCTTTGATGTTTTAATTTCATTGTTTATACAGATCGAATTCAATTCAATTCCATATTGCCATCTTATTATCGAGTTAAGTTTGTGTGGCTCAACGATTTTCTTGGAAACGTTCTATATTCCATAACTAAACTACGAGTAAAATGGGTGGATAAACCAGTTATCAGTTTCAATACCTGTGCAATTTGAAAGCAGTAGTATTAATTAGGAAATTAGACTATAACTTTATAGTTTATTGGCAGGTTAAAATACATGTTATATTTCGATTCGAGAAACCAATTGCTTTTTTATCCTCAGAAAGATAACAGAAACTAAATTTCCGCCCGAATCATGAAACTGTATTGAAATAATATTATTTGCATTTTTTAGCTTTGATAATAATTTTCAATCTTCCAATTGTATAAATCAATATTACAAATTTGATTTATGCATTCAAATTTTTATTTCTTGCTTCTTTGTTGTAATGTTCATCACTGTAGACTGGAGAGAATGATGTTCAATCAATGTAGACTGGAGATATCTTCCTACCGAAGTCTAGCTTCTCGTATCAATGATACGAGTGATGCAATGTTAACGAGTGTGCACTGTATAACAGATAAAAATGTATTTAAATAGAAAAATCTGTCAAGCCTTAAAGCTAGAAATACAAAAAATGTTCCAGAGTTTTTTTTTTTGATAATGTGATTCAGGTATTGAGACAAAAGGCCTTATTAATATCTTTTAAATTTGATTCAATATCAAACATTGAAATCTGTTAATCTAAATCTTCTTCATAACAGCTAAGGCTGTGTTACGTTGTACGAATCTAAAAACATTGTTCAACCGTTCCTAAAAGTAGGTTAAACGTAGTAGTATTTTTTGACGTTGAAAAGTAGTATAAATAAGTAATAAGTAAGTATAAGTAGTTTTAGTTTCGTTCCGAAAAACAATTTCTCACCAAATACTGAAACAAATACCTAGCCCGAAAATTTGTCTTTACCTGAACGACGATTCATTCTCGAATTCAAAATTATTAGACAGTACGAAATAATTGGATTGGTGTTGGTTTGTATGATTCTTTTTACGTGCAGGATTTTGATCTAAACACTCGATCAGAACGCACATTAGCGTCAGGCATCGTCAACGCTCGATCATCCATCACGATGATTGTCTAGCAAGCCAAGATTCTAAAATTATATCGTTTTAGGATTGATTAATTTTGCAGAGTAGTTCTATTTAAGTTATTATGAAATTCGATGAGAGATGCAATGATACGATGATATGATAGTCTTGTATTACAATATTCGTTTAATTTTTTTATTGCAATAATNTGTTGCCTGCTTTTTGTTTACTGCTAAATTAGTTTAGACCTCGTGACCCCTCAAGAATTCTTTATTTCGCTCCTAGATTTGGAGTCGTCGAAGAAATGTTCCCATGCAGTTACCTGGAATTGCTTTCAATATTTCCCGATGTTTCTGTGGCAGCTCCTTTAACTGGTGGTCTGTGAGCCTTGGCAAGCAAACTTAAGAAATAATACTCTTTGCAAAAAAAAAACGCGGACGACTTTTATACTTTCTTTTAAAGAGCTGCACCTGACGACTAGTCATTTGCGGTTAACCGTGTTTCTGTAGCCCGGACTGTAATGTTATCTTTTAAAATGTAACGCAAAAATTCTAGCCATGCTCCGTTCACGGGACATTATATAGTTGTTGATGTTGTGCCTCATTCATGACTGCATGTGTACGTAGACGAACAGAAAATTTCCCATGTGTGTTAAAGTGACGAAAACGCTAAAAATGTGTGAAATGATATCAAAAATCAAACTTAATAGAATATTTAGGCTATTAGGAGCTATAATAATCTGCTCGTTGAACTTTACTGAAGTGTACAATATTCTTACAAAATGGATTTTGTAAATAAATTGGGTCGGAACCGTCTAGGAATCTCATTTATGTCGAATTTCATCATAGAAGCTTTCCAGTTTCTTAAGAACTCTCGATAGCGCCAAGCCGTGTATTAGAGATTGGTTGAGTGTCATCATTAATTTTAGTCCCACAACCTGAAACAAGTTCAATCGTGACTAATATATTTCAAATATATACTTCTTTACTTTTTTCGAATAAAAATTTCTCAGTCGTAAGAAAAATTTCATAAAATATGTCAGGTGTTTACTTAATTGAACTGAAACTAGCCAGCTGATTTCAAAGTATAATGTATTTTAAATGGTGTTGCTTTTATTTGTGCAGAGATTTATCCCACAACAACATCACTAGTCTATCACCGGGGAGTCTTAGTCACTTATGGAGACTCAAGATCCTTGTGCTCAGTCACAACTTCTTGACGGAAATACGTTCAGGATACTTCACAGGGCTTCACAGTCTCACCACCCTGTGAGTCTTACGCTATCACAGTCTCACCACCCTATGAGTCTTACGCTATCACAGTCTCACCACCCTATGAGTCTTACGCTATCACAGTCTCACCACCCTATGAGTCTTACACTATCACAGCCTCACCACCCTGTGAGTCTTACGTTATCGCAGCCTCACCACCCTGTGAGTCTTACGCTATCACAGCCTCACCACCCTGTGAGTCTTACCCTGTGAGTCTGTGAGTCGTCACCACCCTGTGAGTCATTTTAGCAACAGAAAGATCTATATTATTGCACGGCTTCCAACATTATTCTTTCCTTTCAAGGTGCTCTAAATGTATCCTTGCGATTTCAATCAAGATTGAAATCTTTTTAAAGCTGAATTCTTACGTAAATTGTCTTGCATTGCAAGTAGGTTAATCGGCCGCAATTGTAATGAAACACGAAGATTATTTACAAGCTCCAAGAAAAGCGATACATGATTTCTGAATCAAACGTGCTTGATTTTGAGTAATGAACTTAACAAGTAGAATTGCAACCTCTACGTATGGATTTCTCTGGTCCATGCCAGGAATTTTCTAATTTCTTGACTTCTTTGCCTGCAAAGACTGTGCGACTCACGCCTCATGGAGCGCCTTGATCCACACGCCATCCAACATAATAAAACACTATTGTAATATGAAACTATTATAATATAACACTATTGTAGTATAAAACTATTACAATATAACACTATTGTAACATAAAACTATTGTAATATAACACTACTATAATATAAAACTGTCGTAATATAACACTATTATAATATAACACTATTTGCTATTTTTTATCAAGTTTGAGAGCAAATAACTTACGCAATGATGGCAAGAAATCGACTTGGTCCTTGCATATTCTCAGATGAAAATATGAATACGCTATCGTTGACCAGTTGTTTACTAATAATTTCACATTAGATTTTCGCTAAATAATCAAAAGTCAATTTCAGCTTTAATAAGCGACTATTTTCTTCGTTCTGATAGACTTACTGATTGATTTTAGTATCAGCGCAATATGTATTTATGGTTTGTGTACTTATTCGCTAATTTGATAAAAGCGGCACGAAATATTTCGTGTCAGATGGAAAGTTTGACTTTACGTCAAGTCCACTTTCAGTGGAGTTGACAGCTAAGCTGCCATCATACACGTCACTTTCAGTGGAGTTGACAGCTAAGCTGCCATCATACACGTCACTTTCAGTGGAGTTGACAGCTAAGCTGCCATCATATTCATCACTTTCAGTGGAGTTGACAGCTAAGCTGTCATCATACACGTTACTTTCAGTGGTGTTGACAGCTAAGCTGCCATCATACACGTCACGTTCAGTGGAATTGACAGCTAAGCTACCAACCTACATGTCAAGCGCTGAAGGAAATTATCTTGAAAGGATGGTAACGGGTCTCATTGCTTTGGTGATATGAAAGTCGTACAACCAGGTGTAAGAAGTTGATCTAAGTTGTTAAAAGAGGGAAAATATCCTACAATTAACTTTGTGTCTGAGTTATAATCGATAACGGACCATCGACCGTTTAGTGAGTGGACTCCAATACGAGTTTTCAAAATTGGACTTATTTATCAGTTTTGCGATAGTAATCTTCTGTAAGGAATTTATACGAATAAAACAGCTAATAATTTTTATTGAACTCGAAACGAATAAAACTTGGACATCAGTGCAGTCTGTCAAGAACTGTAGAGGCTGATGTTCACGAAACTGAAATTAGAGACAAACGATCTAAATTAAAATAATGTAGGAATACTTGAAATGACTTTAAACTATTATATTCAGCAATTCCAATTCAACGGCACAAGATATGACAGTAACGCAGTTTCCATTTCTAACCTTAAATTAAACAAAGTACAACGCAGAACAGGTAGTATGCACTGGCAGCACCGGAGGCAAGAAGCGAGATGACACACGAGACGAGAGGTGAATACCGGGGGTTATACTGTAATATAACGGAATAAACGGTAAGATCGGGTTTAAAATACTAGCAAGAATCTTAGTAAAATGATATGAACAAGTCAAAGCTCGACATTTTCACAAGACATAATTTAAATTATTGCGAAGACCAACCTTCAAAATTATTGCCATTGGCGAATTTCGAAGTGGCTTGAATAAAGCCGTTCAGAGGTATATTTGTGGTAAAATGGTGCAATTAATGGAATATTAGTTAATGGCTGGCCCAACTTCGGCAATACTGCCGAAGTAATGCTTCAAAGACGACTGTCAATTGTTGGGCCAAACCAAAGAGGTAACGTTGCATGCATTAAATGCCAAAAGGGACCATGTCATGCATTAATTCAAGTTAATTAGTAAGAGATAGGATGATAATTGCACTCTGAAGTTGATATAGAAATCAACAGTCCAGAACACTATTAGGTATCACCTATCGCTCACGCCTCCAAAATCCTTCTTTTTAATGGTTCCTAGCTATCTAGAAATCAACTTAAAACTATACTTATTCTGCAAGGTCCGGATCAATAAAAACGGAACATAATTTCTTATACTTCATTTCACGAACATAAATTAATTTTTGTTTATATATTATTTCAAAGCCACTAAATAATTATTTTATTCATCAAAAAGACATGTTAAGCTGTTTCCTTGATGAAAAGTAATAAATTCTTCTTGGATGTTAGTTTCAACCTATTATTAAAAGAGTAGTTTTGACTAACTCGATAATTTCAAACATTGAATTGTGGAGCAAGTTCTAGTAGCTTAGCATGGAACATAAGATGTCTCAAGTCTCTCACATCACGCGGCGCTCCACGTCACAAAATTGTCTCAGAAAATCAGTTATTTTAAAAACCAAATTTCCAAGTAATCAAATGAGCACTATAATTAACCGCGCATATTTGCATAGGCGTACTTTGCATAGCGCCTGGAGGGAAGTGATTAACGCAGTTCAGCTTCTCATCCCATTAGCTGAAGCCTTCGCTCTAAATACAACGCTATTCCTACGAGGATGAGAATAATATTGGTCTCAAGATGATTTCCGCAAGTTTAGGCGCCCGCATGGATTTTTGATTAGTCCCTTTGAAACTGAAGTAACTTTTCGGTAATCCAAGCGAGAAATGTTCAAGTTTCTCTTGAAGAAGTTACGTAAACTTGAGACAATGGTAGCCAAGATGAGACGTAGCCTCAGGCTGACTATGGAATCGGAATTTTGCATCGGAATTTATAGATTTTTATTATTAGTTCTGAGTTGAGAGGTAAATAGGGTGTTAATATTGATTTTGAATGTAATTTTTAAACGATCAATATCTTTGAATATTGATTGTTTGAATATCTTTGAATATCCTTGGTCTTGTTGAAATCGCTTCCAGAAGAGTAAATAGTCAGGCAAAGGTTGCAGAATAAAATTATTGCTGAAGTCAACGAATAAAATGTCGAATAAAATCCTCCTACATTGAATTCTCAAGCATGTATTTCCTTATTTACATTACTGTGAACTGCTAGAAGTTAATCTAGCGTGAGGCATTCACTGACGGCCGATGAATGTTGAAAACTTAAATACTGAGGCCACCTATAGCACGTGTAAAATAATTTAAAAAAAACAAAAATAAAAAATTCAATTGCAGACCGACCGATTCCAAATTTATAGTTCTAGATAAATTATTGAAACTGTGCCGTCGTTATTCTGATCGCACCGCCTGATTCTGGCTCTAAATTCATGTTTTAATTCTGCTTGAAATATCCTCAATCTTAATCCACTTGATGATACTCAACAGTCAATAAGCGTGGGATGCGCTCTAAAAATAAGATTTTTACTCATTGAGCCAAAAAGCCCGACCGTGACGTTAAATTTCTTACATTACAACGTTAATTGCGTTTAATTTGACTTTGGGATTCAATTGAGATAAATACAAGATCACGATTGCAATTGAAATGTTTCATGAAAATTTTATTGATTTTATGCAATTCCAGAGTTCATTTCTCATTGCAATATTTGCCATAACTTTCCGCGTGGCTCCCAGTTGAAACTCAGCCATAATGGCACTTAAGCATTATAGGTACTTCTTTGTAAACTTAAACAACGAAAATTAAATACGATGCGAAATAATTTCCGATAAGTTACTTTTTAACACTAATGATGAGTGTATTTTACTGTAACAAACTCTTTCGGGAAGATCTGCTACTTCAACTCCCGATTTCACGCTCGTTCGAGTCGCATGCAACTTAATTATTTTCTGGTTTGAAACTTCATATTAAAGTTTAGGACCACGGCAAATTACCGCAAATGTCAATACTTTGCTGAATGTTGTTAATTCAAAATGAAGAATTCACGCAATATTTAATCAATATTCGTATTGTAAATTTCACCCAGAAGATAATCTAAAGCTTGAGATAATTTAAAGTAGAATTATAATATCATTTATAAAATTTGCACATTGCGTAAATTCTCCTTTTTTTACTATCATAGTTTATTTTCCTGCCCATGTAAATTAGCATAGTTGGCATTCTTTACCCTAAAATTAGCAAAGATCAGGTGTGATAGAACGTTTTAAGGACTAAAACGTTATTGATATGAAGTATTATTATTGAGATAATCCTTTAGATAAAAATTTGCAAGGCACGTCACTTATAGTTGATCTCTAACAATTGCTCACGCTGCTACGAGCACGGGAATTAACACGAATGGGATTTATCAAGGGAATATTGTACCTTGATGATGGAAATTTTTTATTTTCCTTACAGACGATTGGAAGGGAATCGGATCAGGACGCTGTATCCCCACGCCTTCGTTGGACTCAGCGCCCTCACATTGCTGTGAGTTCCGCAAGCTCAATTTCACCATAACATTCAAAAAGATCAAATTTGGCGCACGTTTTAAATGTAAGCAGTACATATATGTTGTATTGTAATTGATGAAGCTTCACTTATGTTCATAGATTATTTTGGTTAGGCTTATTAGCAGCAATTGTTATCTTTTGCATTTCTTGGAAAATTTTAAAAGGACATCATCATTTATCGGGATCTGTATAGGACAAAACCTGTTTTCCCTCTATTTCCCTTGCATCTCAATGAGACATTAACCTCATTAATTATGCCTTAAAATTTTACACTTTATTATCTCTGGTTTGCAGAGATCTGACGCGGCAGAGGCTTGACACTATCAAGCCAAAGGCGTTCGAAGGCCTCAGGAAATTCAGAACACTGTAAGTAGGAATTTTTTCCTGCTTTTTCCGTTCATTTTTTTTTTGTCTGTCAGAGTTATATGTTTTGTCTCACATTTTCTTTCAATAATCCGTTTACTCAAGTTTAGTATATAAACTTTTTTTCTTCATGGTCGTATTTTAAAAGAATTTTGTATCATTTTCTTCAGCGTCGGAAAACTCTTAGCATACCGAATAACTTAATTTTTTTCTATTACATCGCAAGATTTTTGCCCACTTTTGGTGACAAAAATTGTTCATTTCTTAATGAACCAAAGTAACATAAATTGAACCGAAGCAAAACTTTTTCTTGGCTGCTATTTTTTGCCCGTGATGTTAAAATTTTTCCTTGTAATGGAAAGCCTGAAAGTTATTTTTATTACTATAAAATATTGCAGTACGACTCTTTCGAGCATTATCTTTAATAGTTCTTGATTTTGTAAGATGATAAACTAAATGATATAAGTCTTAAAGATAAGGCTGCGTCTGCTATGTAACCGATTCCATTTGCCGTAGAATTTTTCACAGCTAACTGGAATTCGGACCTTCAACTCACTACTGATATAGATATGCATAACTTCTTAAACACGCAGTTATCATGCCAAAATCCATCAGAATTTTTCAACAGCTGCGCTGAGGCTCGATCACACAACTTCCTACTTCAATGCTGTTTCGTTTGAGTTGTTTGAGGTTTTTAACGATCTCAAAATTCTGGGGAGAAATTTGTACCCTATTGTTTATTTTGCTGAAGTCTGATCTATTCAATTACATTATTTTTTCTCATTCGCATCCATTTTGCATGTCATTTTACTCTCCTGGGCACATTTAGTTTCCATTAATTTTGCTCGTTAAGAGATGGATGACGTGAAATTATCGACTAATTACCTGATCGAAAATTCAGTTGTCTAGGATACATAAATTACAAGTACAATTTTTACTGTGATGGAGATTTTATTACATATAGAACACTTCTTCGTAGCTAGACTATGAAATGCGTCGCAAGCTCAAGATAACAGACCAACGAATATTCAAAGAAATTTTGTCTAGAAAAATAATGAATCACAAGTAGCCTTACTAAAAACCAATGTTCTAAAACTATGCGTGAGTATACACAGAGGGCAGCAACGTATTACTTGTGTGAGTTAAAAAAATGGCAAAAAAATCCACTAAATGTAACATTTACTATGTATTCTAATGCTGATAAGCCTGCGATTGTCCCATTAAGACTTGAACCAATTCAAGTAGTCTGCTCATCTCTGCACTTCTGCATCCATTCTTGAAGTTAAATACAGCTTATTAGGGAAATTCTCAACTTCAATTTGCCATTTCAATCAAGATAACAAACCTGCGCCGACAAACTCAACATAAACCAGGCCTGGAGAACGAAGGATTTAATAAGACCCAAGAAATTGTGGCGTAAATTGTGGCCTACGACGGTACCACAAAGGCCGACCTAGATGTCGATGGGACAATAAACACTGATTTTGCCTTATATGATTGCACAAAAAATTAGTTTGAGCGAAAAAATCTATTCCTCTCCATATATAAGTAGTAACAATTTTAAGACAATTTATTGGACTTTTTAAATGTTCGTTTTAAAATTCAATATAATGTTGGTTATTTCAATTGTTCATTGGAGAATCACCAAAGTAAAGTCCTTACCTTCGTTGTAAAATAAGTCTAAAAGACATGTGCCTTAATATTAAATTTCGAACATACAATGACATTTATAATGGAAGCTCATTCATCTCATCAGTTGTGTGTTTGAATAACATAACAGTTTCGCCTTTTCTAAATGTTTAAGGATTTTCAACTGAGTGATCATACGCGGCAAAACCAGATATTCGATGGCAGTGCATCAGTACGAGTAATCCAATTATTTGGAAGTCTACAGCCCTTGTAAATTTTGACCAACAGGAAGCTGTCGCACAACTCCCTCACGACCCTCGAAAACGCGGCCTTCGCTGGACTCGCCAACCTCGAAGTCTTGTGAGTAAATGTGGACTTTTCCTCATACTCAGTCATGTTTGAATGATATGAAAGTGAGTAAATTGGGACTTTTACTCGTACTCAGTCATGTTTGAATTATATGAAAGTGAGTAAATTGGGACTTTTACTCGTGCTCAGTCATGTATGAATTATATGAAAGTGAGTAAATTGGGACTTTTACTCGTGCTCAGTCATGTATGAATTATATGAAAGTGAGTAAATTGGGACTTTTACTCGTGCTCAGTCATGTATGAATTATATGAAAGTGAGTAAATTGGGACTTTTACTCGTGCTCAGTCATGTATGAATGATATGAAAGTGAGTAAATTGGGACTTTTACTCGTACTCAGTCATGTATGAATTATATGAAAGTGAGTAAATTGGGACTTTTACTCGTGCTCAGTCATGTATGAATTATATGAAAGTGAGTAAATTGGGACTTTTACTCGTACTCAGTCATGTATGAATTATATGAAAGTGAGTAAATTGGGACTTTTACTCGTGCTCAGTCATGTATGAATTATATGAAAGTGAGTAAATTGGGACTTTTACTCGTACTCAGTCATGTATGAATTATATGATATTTACAATTTTATGATTTATTAGTGAAAAAAGTGTTGAGTATGGAAGGCAGCGCATATGGAATTCGTTTTATTTCATAACAATAATAATCTAAAAAAGAACTTGACCTGATTGAGCTTTTTCAGAAACTGGGTAAATGTAATCTATTTTAATTCATTGTTGTTGTATGAAGTATGAATAATTGCTAGCTTCTCTTCCGTTATTTCAGAAAAAAATCAACAGTAAATTAGAAAAAATGTTGTTTCTGCACTTGCACACTCATCATTTGTCACAGGAACAACTGCAAGCTCATTGCTTATTTGATAGATTTTCTGCATAATTAATTTGTTAAAACCCTTTAGACGAATTTGAAATGCTTTTAATTGATTGATTAAAATTCTCGAATAGAAATTGGATAATACGTACGAGTAGTGGCCGCGAGGAGGTACATATGAATGCGAGATCAGATTTCATTTATATTTTTCAGTAGACAATTTCAGGTCTATAAACGTAAACCCATTGAGGCTCATCTCGTTAACCCTTTGCTTCAGCTCGTGTGTGGCCTGTATTATCTTGTATTTTCTTAATGAACTTCTCACATTTACGGCCCATTATGCGGGCTATCATGAGGCTCATTCATGGATTTACGAAGGCGAGCACCTAATTCAAATCATTATCACGCCACGACCTCAATGTGTTGGAAATTATTGGTCTAAAATCTTAAAGATTGTCTCAACTACTCTCTGATACGAACAATTCTAATTGTGACTTATAGAACCAGGATGTTAAAAGTTATTTTTGTATGCTTATATGACCAAACATCAAAGCTACTGTTATAAGACCAGACGTCAAAGCTGCAAGACAGAGGCTGATGAGAAGATAGACTATAGCTAGCGATAGAATTTTTTCACTGAATGTAGCATAACAACTAAGCTAATTAGTAGAGATCATAACAGCGGAAGATGAATGCAATTACTGAATTGAAACTGTATTCACTATTACTGACTGTAGATCGGATATATACGTATCGCTGTCGCGTTTTTTTATAACATGACTGAAGATTAGTCGTAAACTTTTCATAAATGGTCAGACATTTTTTGATTTAGTAGAAATTTAAAAGCGAAGAAAACTCCACAAAAATTCAGCATTTCTCTATTGAAAACGTTTCGGAGACCAGCTCCATCGTCAGTTCGATAAATCTAGAACATAAATAGTCAGAAAATTAATTAAGTTTGGAGTTTTGATTTCACAGATGATCCCAGGGGCTTAAATTTGGCTCCTGATAGGCTCGGCGTTAGGCTACTGTGAGAAAATCAGTATAATTTTCCATTGAAGAGTTCAATGATGAGTTGAAATGTAAAGGCTTATTTCAATAAAAATTTCAAAGGGTACACATTCGCAGTTAAAAATGCAAGCCGCGAGGCATGTGACTTGAATGCTATGAGTTTGGAAAGGAAGAACATGGCACCAATGAATCGTCAGGACAAAAACAAATCACGATAAATTGTCAGAGTTCATTCTAATCTAATTACATAATGGCGAGGATTTGTCCTAATCAAAGTCAGTTGCTACATGCATTCAACGCCGGCATAAAGTCAATGGACGTCTTTATCGACGTATATTTTAATGAGGTAAACTCATCCGTATTATATTGTTCTTCTCAAATTAATTATGACATTTTTAGCCAATTTCATGGATGAAATAAAGTTTCGGTGTGTTTTGTCATCATCCTATTTATTCGATATTCCAGACGTTTTTATTTATCTTAGACTTATCTGTAAACATGGAATTTGTCATTGAATTTATATAGTATATTTTATTTAACAAGAAGGGGATTTTAAGCAACTTTGACTCGTAAAGAATAGCTTCTGAATTGCTCTTTAATGTAATTCTCTAATTTCGTATAGGTAATATATATATATAATATATAATTTAGTATAGGTATTATATAATCACTGGGAAACTTATTTATAACAGTTATATCCAGGGCAACCTAGGGGAACCTTCTTTATTGCATGTATTTCTACTGTGAATTTGTCATTGAATTTATATAGTATATTTTATTTAATGTATTTCTCTAATTTAGTATAGGTGTGCCATAATTTAACGTAATCTCCTTTTTATTCTCCAGAATTTTTTTCTGCTCAATATCTCATTATTAACTCATATTTTGATTGTCGTAATTTAGTTGTGGGACATTTCGCTCAAGTACAATAATTGAAAGTATTTAGAGTTTTCTCATCGAGCTCAATGCGATGTCAAAATTTAACTGCAAAAATATTCGATTTGAAGTTTCAGTTACTCGAATGAGTCAAAACGTTTAAATTTTGGTCACTTCTAGAAAAATGGTAAATTGTTGGAAATATTTCACCATAAATCTTCTCTTGTACGATATGAATTTGAATGAAGACTTTCAATTTGGTAAGCCATACTAACCCATCGCTCGTCAAAGTTAAAGTGAAACAAAAATTCATATCGGCGTTAAGAGGATCAGTTCTACAATACGCCGGACAGAAAGTTCGAACTTCCATAACATTTTACTGGACGTAAATTGCGAAGGCTTGGCAAAATCCATGAAAACAAGCCGGTATGAATAAAAACATTCCAGGACCAGCACGAAAATAATTTTTTTAATTGAAAGAGCCAATTTGAAGCGATTTTCAAAGTTGTATTAAAATTATTAAATTGAGCTAAATAAATGATAAATGAACAGATAGCTTTATGTCTATTTTTGACATGTTATTTGAAGCTGCATCGCAAAGTGCACTCAAATGAACTTTTAATTCTTAAAATTCTTCTGTGATTGAATTTGTACGTTGTTAAGGGACGCAGTGCAATTTTTTTATTACAGTTGATTTTTAATTTTTAAGTTATCTGATTTTTGGTTTTAAGTCACCTCGATCGGACGTGACAAATATGTTCTGCACTTATTTATTGCTTTGTGATCCACCGCGGAGGATCGCGTTATTTATCATTTGGTTTGTTTAATATGTGATAATTTTCTTGTTCAATTCAGTATGGTGTTTAAGGGTGTTTATGATTATTATTTAGACATTCTAATATTTATTTTTCTGGTTTTCATTAAATTCTGTCTTTGTTGTTGCTATTTCTAAATTCTTGTTTATTTATTAATTTCAGAAAGGCTCCGAATCATGAATACGAAACTAAGACTCGATCAAGGTACAATAGACATGAGCAAAGGAAACACACGGTTTATTGTTTCATATTCTTGTATTCTTACATTTGAAGTTTATTTATTATCATAATTTTCACTTATAATTTTCATTCGTCCATTGTCTTCCGCTTAACCCCCGACAACGTTAATCATATTGAGAATATTCTGCCACACGTCCTAAGTGCAATAGGGCGTGTGGAATATATAGAGAACTCCATAAATCTCTAGTCACTTAGTCGTTCCTATATCATCGACATTGTGCACTGAAACTACGTTTAACTCATTTTCAAATCACGTTGATGATATAGCAGCTTCAAAGATAAGTTAATTACCTTTAGATGCACGTATGACAAGCTCGATTATCTCCAATAATGTCTTTAGAAAGGAAAAGTTACAGGTAAAGAGGCACACTGACATGCTCTTCAGGCTTAAATACCACTGAGCGAATAAGCTGATTATGGCATTAAGAAGCCGGTATTGAGAGCACGACTCGTTCCGATCGAAGTATCTACTCTGCCTGGTAATTGGTACTTCAGTTCTTTAGTTCGGCTTTATTCTATAACTCGGATATTTAGTTCAATTCAAGGAGGCTAATTCAATGTAATGTAAACAGGAGATTATCACTCACCACTGGAAGGCAAAAAGATGGCAGACCCATGGTACCTCTGGAATCTTAGTGCAAACGTGAAAACTCGTGTTATATTGCAATGAATACCGGGTACATTGCAGCATTAGCCAGTTACACAATGAGGAAAAATTGTCAATACAGCCAATATTATGGTTTTGCTCACTTTTTTAAAGCTATTTATTGTTTTGCTCACTTTTTTAAAGCTAATATTAAAGCTACGTGGATTTTGCCGAAAGGCCCATTTTTCAGCCACTGCAACTTCAATTTAAAAATTTTAATGAATTTTCAATACCTAGCAGGCAATGAAGGCTTGTCGATACAAAGATTGACCGAAATGAGCGAATGGAGAAATGATTGACATCAAGGCCATGTTAACGAGCAACAATAGTTTATTCATAGATGTCATCTTTTCTTTGCTTCCATCAATGTTTTATTTATTTATGAGGCTGCTTTAGATTTAATCCAAAATTTACCTGCCAATTCCGACTTTACTGAATTCTCGTTTTTGTCTAGGATCTATTTTTTGCTTAATATTTTGAGATCTAAAAATCTACGCAATACACATGAGTTTATCCCACCCAATCGTATGATCCCACTGGTGATTCAGGAATTAATAAATTCAAGTGACGCGGCTTAATTGCAAATTAATGAGCGATTTGTGTGAAAGATCATTACCATTTTGGCCGCTATCTGTGGATGTCGCCACGCTTAATTCGGAGTTTCTGAATCTCCAACACTGCATGGCCAAAGTCGTAGAAATGGTTGGCAGCCATTCCTTCCAATGTTACCGTTTTTTTACATCATTGCAATAGATTGATATGATGAAAGCCTATATTCCATGTTGCTTGTGTAAGGATCATTATGTGTTTTAGTTAAAGCTCTTTTGGCTAATTTAAAGTTGAAATTTTTTCGGATCAGCTCATCAACTTCTTTACATCAATAACACAATGTTTCGAGCGAAATAGTAATACCTTAGAATTAATTGATGCGTCAAAATTATGGCAAGAAGCATGTTTATTGCCCGAAATAAAGTGTAGTCTGTCAGAATTATTTTAACAAAGTTTGAATATGTTTCCTTGTTATAAAATTACTTCAGACCAAGCAGTGATGGCCAATATATGAAGCTATATCTTCAAATCCAATATAATTGACGGGCAGACCGAATAGTATTGCGATAATGCCTTCCAATTATCTGGGATTGTGAACTTTGTCCTTGTGCATTTGGTGTTACTGATACCATGATCAAAATTATTAATTCTTTACTCCTACAAATATAGAACAGCAAGCAATTTTCTTCATGAAATAGGAGAAACTTTTTTTCCATGTCTATATAGTGCCTTAAAAATATTTTCTCTGGAAAATATGTGGAACGAAATTTCCCGTGTAACAATGTCATCCTTCAATCTAATCCTCTTATTGAAGGAGATTTGTCCAGAGTATGGCGCTTTATTCTCAAAGTTACGAAATTTAGTCAAACATGACTCTTTCTTCGGCAAGAAGTGTAGCAATAAAGGTTCTTAAAGATCTTTTTTTGGGAGAAATTTTCTAAACTAATGCTCTAAAAAAATTTTTTTAAGGAGAAAGATTAAATATCGCGTATCCAATACAGAGAACTGCAAGGCAACGCGTTGAAGGCGCTCACTCACCAGCTCTTCAAGCCACTGGAAAACCTTCACTCATTGTGAGTTTTTTAAATCGTTCTATAAATTACTTGATGAATGTAATTTGTTCATTTTCTTACTCGTCACTAATTGTGAGTTAATTTTTTTAGTTTTACAAACGAGGTAAAGGTTATAGTTTGCTGATTTTCTTACTCGTTACTAATTGTGAGTTTACTAAATAGTTCCATAAGTTAGTTAAAGAAAATAATTTCTTTATTGTCTTACTTTTGAAGTTCACTTGGGAACTCAATCATGGCGTGAGAATTATAAAGAATATTCCGAAAATATATTTAACAATATTATGCTCCGAACATGAACAACTCGTGAATGTTCTAAAAGATTTGCAGATCATTATTATATAGCTGATAATGTTATTGGCATAAATATTGCAGGTTCATGCATTGCTAATGATGTCTTAAGGGCTACTGTATGTAATGTTCTTATTAACAGTAGGTCTACAATCACAATTTAATTATTAGTTGTATTTTCCGACAGCTCCGAAAATGAAAGCTTTTTTCTTTCATTTCAATTCATCTGCTTTACACCTCTTTTTACATATCAGCTCGAGCAATTTATACAATAACATTATTTTTTCACATTACTTTCTAAATTGCATCGTAATGCAAATTAAACAGTAAATTATTGTTGTATTCGAATTTCTTCAATAGTTACTAGGACTACCAATTTTTTTCTACGCCGATCAAAAATATGAATAATGCTTTTCACTTGAATTCCGAATAAAACATGACAAATTTCCAAAAGCTACAGAAAATGTTACAAGAATATTGTGAATTGTTATTCACATTGATGTAAAATACATATTTGAAATTGATATTCATAGAAACAAAACCTGCAAATATATTTTTATATTATTTTTACTTTTTTGTAATTAAAAAAAGGAAAACGGACGACTGGCGTTGGTGTTGCCTGGCGCGCCGCGTGCAGCACTGCGAGCCCAAGGATCAGTTCTCCTCTTGTGAGGACCTCATGAGTAACCTCGTCCTGCGGGTCTGTATCATCGTCCTGGGGGTGGTCGCCCTTGTCGGCAACGCCTTCGTCATCGCCTTGAGATGTCTTAATAAGACTGAAAATAAGGTGAGTGAGCAGTAGTTTACATTTTATTTTAATGCGGAATCTGAAAACTATTTAATTAAAGATCAGAACTACTGATATTAGTGATGAAAATAAGGTAAGAGCCGCAGCAGTTTCCATTTTATTTTAATGCTGAATCTGAAAACGATTGAATTAAAGTCAACAACTACTGATATTAGTGATGAAAATAAGGTAAGGGCCGCAGCAGTTTTCATTTTATTTTAATGTGGAGTCTGGAAACTATTTAATTAAAGATCAGCAACTACTGATATCAATGATCTGTTACCGTATGATGCATGTAGACGCCAGAAATATTACGCCTTCGTCATCGCCTTGAGATGTCTTAATAAGACTGAAAATAAGGTGAGTGCCGCAGTAGTTTTCATTTTATTTTAATGCGGAGTCTGGAAACGATCAAATTAAAGATCAGAACTACTGATATTAGTGATCTGTTACCGTGTGACGCATGTAGACGCCCGAAGTATTTATGTTTGGTGTAAATAACAAGGAATTTTTAGCTGTTATCACTCATTTATTCTGGATTCGAGCTTAATAAGGAGCATTCTTAAGACCAGTAAATAGTTAATTTTAATGGCCAGAACGAGAATTAATGACCAATCGTCGTGCCTAGAGGAGCTTGCCTTTGATCCAAAACCCATTCAGTGACGCCAGAGCAAAACTGGAAAAGCACGTGTCCTGTATTTGAGTCTGATAATTTTTTTATACATGTCTTACATTTTCTAATTTCACCTTGAATAACATCCAAAGTATGTAATTAATTGTTCTTATTTATTCAATTGATTCATTGAAAATTTGAGGAGAAATTCGAATTTATTAATAAATAATGTTACCGATGAAGTTTAATAAGCATGCATAAGTGTTAAAATATTCTCAGTTTGCATAAACTGCAGGAAAATGGAGAATTTTAGATCAAACAAAACTCCATATAAATTCATTATCACGTCATCACCACTTTCCGATGACCTGCTATATTCACTATATTATCATCAGTTCCAGCAATTAATTGCCGTTTTCTTTGCTTCTGAAAATTGGATTAAAATATTTTTATTAATATAGTTTATTCCCACATCAATTAATTAGCCGAATGTTTACACAGATTTTTCGTTATATTGATACAGGGGCATCATGAATATCAGTTGCAATGATGTACACAATTTATGAAATAATTAGCTTTCATGTAACGGATTTGGGGTCGAGTGATATAAATCTCCCTTGTTTACTGCAACACGTGCCAATTAGCATTATAATATTGGTGTATGGCTACTCGGTCTTGTAATGGGCCATACTCGAAAAGCTCTACCATAATTTTATTAAAGAGTAATGCCAAAGCCTGAGAACATATAACGGGAATATATGAAGGATATCAGAAGTAACACTCATGTTTCACTTTGTGAAGGCGGTCAGTGAGTTTATCACATGTAAAAAGAAGGCAAAAATTTCACAAAATAGAGGAAAAGAACAGGTACTGACGAGTTCAGTTCTGATGAATCGCACTACTAAGTGCATGAATGTAACAAAATCAACGACTCGATTTGTACGGAAACTTATCATGTTAACGCATTTCATTATTTCCTAGTCGGTAACCAATGTGATTTAAATTAAAATGTACAGGTTTGAAGTCCTCATCCTACTATAAAGGGTCAAAGCTTTAGCTAATCCATTTTTTATTGAAAGTATTTTCTTCTCAGCTTCGCTCAATCCTAAATTATCGTTTATTATTATCTCGTAAATAGCGGACGAGAGAATTTTTCTAATTTTTATCGCTTACACAATTGCGGTCAATCTATAGGTAGATCATAAAAATTTTTACATTATGAATGATTGTATATGATTATTGGTTCCTCTTCTCAACTATTCAAGTTCACATAATTGCTAGAAATATCAACTGAAATTCGCGGAATTTATTTTTTAGCGCCGTAGTAAGCCTATTAAAAAATGGCAGCCTTGAACGGCTGGTGATTCAATTAAAACAAAAAAAATTTTTAAACTTAAAAAACTTCTTCTTTATAATAAACTGAGCCCGAGCTCGATTTTCCGGATTCTTATTTCGTAAAGTTTCTCCGCCAGCCGCACTCAATCCTCATAATCAACATGGCGGCCGGAGACCTACTCATGAGCGTATATCTACTGATGATCGCTGGCGTAGACCTTCACTACCGCGGCGTATACGCTGCGTACGAGGAGCAGTGGCGTACGTCAGCATCGTGTCAGCTCGCTGGCTTCATCAGCACGCTATCCACTGAGTCGTCAGTCATCTCGCTGACCAGTCAGTAGTAGCTTATATCATCAACATCAAAGCTGGACTCTATGCATTCTAATGCTCTGACATTCCATCAATCAAGTGCCGAGATTCTAGTCTGAATATTGAATGTCGATGGTCAATTCGTGGATTATGAAAATGTAATTCATCGAACTCCTGTCATTTTGTGGACAATAACTGCGTACCAAGAGATATTAGATTTCATGACAAATTTTACTTGATAACCATCATAATTTTGCAATAATTTCCATTGAATTTAAATATTCATGGATTACGAGAATTTAATTTACCCAACTCCTGTCAGTTTGTGGTCAATAACTGCGTACAAAGAGATATTAGACTTCGTGACACATTTTACTTGAAAACCAGGATAATTTTGCATTAATACTCATTGTTAAATTTAAACATTTATTCAATATTGGACTCATTTGTACTGTCATGCCTCAATAAAGATGTATTCATGCCTAACTTCCACTCAGTCATCACGGTGGACCGCCTCCTGGTGATCAAGTTTCCGTTCGGTGACCGCCGCCTCGACATGCGCGTGACGCGCGCGATGATGGTGGGGATGTGGGTGGTCGTGACGTTTCTTGCAGCGCTGCCCCTCGCCAACATCGCATACTTTGACAACTTTTACGGACGCTCTGGAGTGTGCTTGGCCCTTCACATCACAAGTGATAAGCCCAACGGATGGGAGTATTCTGTCCTTATATTCATAGGTGAATACGACAGCTAGAAATTTTTTAATTTATGCGCATTTCCCGAATATTATTTCTCACTTTCAGTCATGAGAAGTCTAACTATTCATGAGTTTTTGCGAAGTTAAGAATTTTGTAGCTTCTGGGCATGATTTGTGGACACGCACAAACGAACGTTTAACGTGTTCATCAGCGTAAATCATGGGCTTTTCATGCTATCATGGACCACGATTAATTATTAATGGGCATTTGTCTCGCCCGTTTCGGCAAACTCTGCTACCAACGATTACAAAAAACCTGCTATACAGCCGTTACTCGTATTATTAAGTAAAATTTGCTCGAAAGTAAAATTCTATCTCTAATATTCTACACAATTATCGATTTCTATTCGAAAATAAGTCAATATTATCTATCGGCATGGACTATAAATGAACAGAGATCTCATGCTTTATTTAACACATCTTTGACGCAAAATTATAGGTCATAACATATTGAACTCATTAAACTCAAGTTTTAAGGCAAAAACATATGCCGCAGTACAAAAAACTCATTAAACTCAAGTTTTTAGGCAAAAATATATGCCGCAACACAGAGCACTCTTTAAACTCAAGTTTTAAAGCAAAAATATATGCCGCAACACAAAAAACTCATTAAACTCACGTTTTTAAAGCAAAAATATATGCCGCAACACAAAAAACTCATTAAACTTAAGTTTTTAAAGCAAATACACATGTCGCAGTCATCAACCTGCTGTCGTTCGCCGTGATCGCCGTGAGTTACGTCATCATGTACTCAGTGGCACGCAAGACGCATCGTGAGGCGCGTATCAATGATACGCGGATCTGCCAGCGGCGGTACACGTCGGCCAAAAGCGGCGGCACGACGCACGACAGCGCCACGATGGGGCGGCGCATGACGCTCATCGTCGCCACAGACGCCGCGTGTTGGCTTCCCATCATCGCTCTTGGCATCGCGTCTCTGTGTGGCGTACACATCCCGGATCAGGTGAGTTGGCATGAGAAAAATTAATATATAATATTATGATAAATATTATTAAATAATAATAAATTGATATAATATAAATTATTAAATTAATATATTAATATAATATAATAAATTATGTGCTCATGAGAAAAATACAGGTTGAATATCTGAGGTGAACCGTTCAAACTTAGATTATATTACATAATAATTTTTGACATAATATAATAAATTATATTATATTATAAATATCTGAAATAGTCTGCTTGAACCTAAACTACGCATCATTATTACAATATCATATTGTAAATATTAAGAGAAGCCTTATTGAATGTTTACAAATAATCACAAATAATTATGTAAGCACGCACAGGTATGATATACAACAATTATTGGTGTCCCGATGTACAGTATTTAACGAACTTTTCGTTCAGCTACATACTTGACGTAAAGACAGCAAGCAGAAGACCGGCCCGTGATATGCGATTCGGTCAAGAGATCATTAGTAATAAAACATAAATGAAAATGCCTCCAACATTTGCGTTGGCTACTTACATTTGCGTTGGCTCCTTACATACCATGAGCTCAGTGAAATCCACTAGAAGTAATTGTAATGTGCTTCAACATTAACTTAAATTTCAGCCCAATTTCACTATCATTTGTAAGGAATACCGTTAGTGTCATAGAAGACTTCGATCAGTTATTCAATAAGCTAGTGTATGGCACAGAAGCATATTAACTGTTACCATAAATCGTATTATAATAATCGAGATGAGAATCATATATATTTTGATCTTATATATGCATCGCTTCTGGTTTAAAAAAATTTGTGAAATAAACATAACTGCTGAATTATCACGTTTTTTCACTAATTTAGTATTATGATTGTCAATAAAAAGACCGAAAAACCGAAAAAGCAAGTTTGTTTATGAATGGATGCTCATGATGTTATCGAAAATCATTGCATACAAGTGGAAAATTGGAGAAAATTTTTTAATTCGTGAAACACGCTTACCACTGCGATTTGAAAATCGTAAATCTAATACAATCGATGTTAAAAATATTTTATATGCGATTTGTTCGCGAATCGTTCCCTGCAATTCCGTGGAGATCACAAGCCGCTTTACGCCTCACCCAAGAACATAAAATGAGCCTCGTTTTCTGACAAACAAGCCATATCCTTTTTTATTTAAAATTGCACTTATTAACTGCATGTAACGTTCAAATGAGAAAATATTTAAGTTTAAAAGGAATTTAAAAGCATAGAAAACGCCAAGAAAAATCACCATATCGATATTGAAAACGTTTCGGAGTCCAGCTCCATCATCAAGAGTCAAGTTCCACTAAATTAAAAATTAATAAAATCATTTTATAAGTCAAAATTGGATATATAAAATTATTTTATTCATTTTTAGTTTAGTCGAACTGATGATGGAGATGGACTCCGAAACGTTTTCAATATCGATATGGCGAATTTTCTTGGCGTTTTCTTTGCTTTTAAATTCCTTGTGAACTTGCGATATAAGCAGACTGTATGTTTATCTAAGTTTAAATGGTTCACCTCGAATATTCAACCTGTGTTTTTCTCAATAGCACATTAACAGCATTAACAAATGAAACAATATGGGAAGTCAATTCTTGTTACATCTTTTGCAAAAAATTTATCGAACACTTCCATTTGTCAAAATTAATTTGCATACAAATGTAATATACATGAAAATTTCAGGCAAATTTTTATATAGCATTTCTGCGGACATTGAGAAATAGTTTTTTCAAGTAAATTTAAAAACCACCGGTTAGCTGAACCAAACACTTCACAACCTAGTTATCTGACCCCACCAAGAAATTGTGAAAAAGTTATAACGGAACTCTTTATTAAAAACAGATGTCATAAAAGTAAATTAACTACATAAGAGCATGGTCTGGAAATTGAAGTTCCTCTTTTAAGTATATACTTCCATTTCAAGTATTGAGGAGTGGTTCTAAATTCATTTCTCTGTACTATAGAAATTTTAGTAAAGGTCTATAATTAGAAAGTGATAAGATCATCAAAAAAATGACTGATACAAATAATTGACGCTTTTGTCCAAAGTAATATCAACACGATTGATTATTATTCGCTTGGGAGCGTGGATAGGCTCTCGATAAATCTCTCCATAATTCTATCTCTCAGATAAACCCAGCGTCTCGGGATAAATGATCCTATAATGGCCGATTGTCATCGCCATTACCCTTCCATTGTCGATTTGATCTTTACCGAGCAAAGAACTGACGTCGGTCCTTCAATCAAAAATATTTTCGAAGTTCAGTCGCGGTAATTGCAGGAAGATTGTCTCAATCCGTATTAGGAGACTAGCTCGAACTATTTTTGGGAAGAAGTTTATTCCTAATATTTTTGAATGTTATTTTACCCCTGCTTAATAAGATGAAATGCATAACCTCAAACAGCAATTTAATTTAGATACCCCAACAGTCCCCGTTTCGACCCTTTAATAAGGATGAAATTGTTTATCTAGAATTAGACAAATTAAATTTGTTTTAACAGTTATAATAATGTTCAGAGTTTCATCTCGTTTTCCTATTACTGGATCATGAAACAAATTCCAATTTATAAATGTCAGATTTTTTGCATATTCCACATTATTTTGTAAGATCTCAATATGATAAATGAGATAGATACTTGCCAGAATAATCCATATGTATCTCAAATGAATCACTTTAACTCACGTATATATGAAAAATATCTTAGCACAGATTATCCAGATTACTGAACAATTGAGGCATCGTTTCACTAAAAATACACTAACTAAGATCAAAAGGCAGAACAAATGATTCATGAAAGAAATGCCTGAAAGAACGAAAATACACTCTTTAAGCTCAAAGGAAGTTTAGGGATTACTTTAACCCGTTCTGTTTACTGTATAAGACGGTGAAATTTGAATGCTACAGTGTCGAGGCCCATTCGATGAATAAATGATATATAAATAAAGCCGTCAGTGGCCGCCAGACATTTACTTATGACCGTGTCTTAATTATTGTTGCCAACAAGAAGGATGAATAAAACTGAATAAATAAAGAAAAAATAATAATTGAAACAACCTATCAATGAATACAAAACAAAAAAATAAATAAAACCAAAACCATGCGCTTTCATTAGGCCGACTATCTATTTTCAATAATGATCGAAGTAAGTTCTTATATCGGAACCTTTCTGCACATACAAAAACGAAAACATAAAATTAGAACTAATGAAATAAATAAACTAATAAACGCAGAAATATAGCACAGATGACATATGATATATGAATAAATATAACCACAAATATACACTAAAGGATCAATAAAATCTTCACTTGAACACCAGGGCACTGTCAACACTGAAAATAAACACGACTAAACGAACCACGTACCTCTGTGGTGTAATCTCACAAGCGAATGACACGATATAGTGGATTCCTACGCGAGGTCACGTCAGTAGTGACTAAAAACCTAAAAGAGAAATTACTAATCTAATATTTACAATAACATATAATCTAATATTTACAATAACATACGTCCCCTTACAACTGCTTTTTTGAATTCGTAAACTTAAAAGAAACGTTTGAAAATTCATATCTGCTCAGGCTGAGGTACTGAACGCTTTGAAGCTGAAAATCAATGATGTACTACTGTCATTTCCAAAGTTCAATTTCAAGTGTTGCAAAACCCTTCACCTGCATGATAATGAAAATTGTATTTTCGAAACGTCGTAATCCATTAAAATATCATTTGATAACCTGTTTTTTAACCTCACGGGGCCAACAAGAAATTTTGTTCGACTCATTGAAGAAACGAATAAGAAGATTATTAATAAAAAGCATGCTCTGGTCTTCAATCAAACTTTCATTTATCTATACGTCTATGACGTCAAAACAGACAAAATAAGCAACGAACATTTCCTTCTTGATTAACTTTTTATGTGGAGATGTTCATTCCTAATAAATTTAAATATTCTTTATCCACTATTTAATGCGATGGAAAGTATAACTGCTTACGCAGGAATCTCCGGCTATTGGCAAAAGATGAAAGTTAACAGCTATGGGCTTGGGGAAATATTGTTAACACATTCAGCAAACCCACAGTGAAAACTTGCATAATAGGTTCATGATTCAAGTATATACTTGACATACGTAATTCTGACTGACATACGTAAAGCTTCTAATTCTAATAATACTCTCGAAATTGCGGCACGGCACCAAAGGACGCTTCTGCTCGGCAAATGCCTGACGATTGCGGCCATTCCAAATGGCTGAATTCGGGACTCCGCTGCCGTCTTATCTTCCTTCCGTGCGGCCTTTGGCTGTCCTGGTAGCACAAATACCATTTGCAGAGCATTCGCGATTCGGAATTATTACTTCGGGTCAATTCGGCATATCCAGACGTTCAGAATTTTCGTCACGTCGGTTTCAAAATAACAACAGAATGATATGACTGGAGTTAGACATCTGGTGCAAGTTTTGGACAGCTTTAAAAAATATTATATACGGTTCGTACGCGAATTATTCTAATTACATGCATAGGTAAGCCGTTGAAAATTATGATGGAGAATGTGCTCACATAAAAACTTATTATTGTTGGGCATTTGCTTTCTTACCACCAGCAACTTTAGTAACAAGTTCTAAAACAGAAATCGTTTTTCTGATTGAATAATAAATTGAGGAGTAAATTTTAGCATTTTTTAAAGAGCAGTAATATTATTAGGCGATTGTATAAAACAAATTGCAGAAATAAAATGATTTTATAAACCTCTCAAAAGATTTTTTTTTAAGACGAACGTCCTGACTACGACCAACATTTTTTTGCTCATTCGTTTACATTGTAGTCGACTTGAGTTTTATGTTTATTCGTGTTTTCAAAAAGCTAAAAAATTACGGAGTAAACATGCCATGATTTATTTGATTTTTAGTTCCACCATTTATTGTTGTGAGAAGATGCATTTTCCACCATGATTATTTACTGATATTATT